TCTAGGAGAAGGGGTAATAACACTTCCTGAAAACTTTCGTGCTATACATAGGGTTATCATGTTTTGAAAAATCTGTAGGGGAGATCATGGAGGTAAAAACCTCAAAAACTGCGCACTAGGCTAAATCTTCGAGTTTCTCAAGGTCAGACAAACTGGGGCTTCTGCGAGAAATTTGTCGATTTGTTCTCTTGTCAATACTTTTGACTTTTTCGGTCGATATTCTTCACCCTTTCGCTTCAAAAAAGCCACAAGCTTGTAATATCTGCTTATGTCAATATGTCATGAGCATTTATGTTCATCATCGACTTTAACGTAGAGTAATTCGACCAAAGCGTTGACGATTTCCATATTTTGGACGTTTCTTCAAAGTATGCAAGAAGCACTTTTTCACTGGCCTCCTTTCCACTGAAATTTTTCTGATCACACCATTTCAAGAAACGTTCGTATGAAAACTCGTACTGTCGCTTTGACTTACTTTACTAGGCAATAATTCAAAAACAGCTTTATTGGCAGTTTCTTCAATTTGCGGCGGAAGAAATTCATTTTCTTGGGCTCTTTCCATTGAGGAACGAAGAAACGAGAAAGAATAATTCGTGATTTATTGACGTTAGTTGTCAAGAATGATAAATCAACAAATTCAGTTTTTGTTTACCTTGGTAACTTGTTTCATGTATAGATTAGATTGAATTGGATTCAAAACTGATAATGTCGAGGCTCTTATTTAATCAATTAATAAGTAATGTAAAATAGTTATGCGTTAATTTGGACTTTTAATGGTGTTTGTAGAAAAGTGTATTATATATGTGCTAAAAGTGGGGAAATAAAATGTCAGTTTTAGCACTTATATCATTTAAACTATTTTGTTTAATAAGATGATGAAACCAATGAATCCTAAACATTGATTTCTTTCACAGAAATCATGTTGAGATGAAAAGAAAGAGAGAAATGGTTCATTTTGATGAGTTAATCATTTTGTTTGGAAAATAAACATCACCTTCGAGAACTACTTGTATACAGGGTGTTTCCTCAATAAATGTCAATATTTGGGAAGGCGATTCTCGGGCCCATTTCAAGAAGAACATTTCATATGAATGTATGCCCTAAATGTCTCAACTTTTGAGATACAGGGTTGTAAAGTTCTCAAAAATGAATAGTTTATTATTAATATCTGTAGTACTACTTGATCTGATCTCTTGAATTGTTTCAGTCCGAATCACGGTTATCACCTCAAAAATAAAATCTATTTCTCTGCATTGTGATATGGTCATATAAATCACGATATTGTTATGATCATGCAGCGAAAAGGTTTTCATTTTCTTGAGCGAAAACCGTGCATCAGATTGAAAAAACTGTAGATATCAAATTTGTATAGAAATAATTGAGAATTTCAGGAATGATTTCAATTTCGAGAATAATCAGTGGCGTACCATCAATGTCTGCCGAAATAGGTATGTGAAATTCAATACGAACGCCACTGGTGGTACACTTACTGATGCCTCTTGATACGTGTGTACATGTATGCCAAATTTCATTGGAATATCTGATCTGGTATTACAGATATCAATAAAAAACTATTTTTTCTTCAGAATTTCACTTTCTCAAAACTCAAGATCATTAGGTCATACCGAGGGTCATACGTTCATATGAAATTTTCTTCATGAAATCGACTTCTCAATTATTGAAATTCAATGAGAAAACACCCTGTATATGCTTACATATTTTCTCATTTCTTGTAGGAAACTCATCAATATGACGAGAAAGATCACTGCGTCAGTGATCAGTACTAAGATATCCACCTTTTCCACTTTGAACATTGTTCAGAGAACACGATTTAGAAACGTATTAAAAATGCATGAAATCGATCAACTCTCATTGGGTCCTGTCATATTTCCATTTTTAATAATAGATAGTTTCGTCTTAGACAAACTAGTCTCATATTTGGAAAAACAGCTGAATCTTACCAAAACAGCAATTCTGATCCTGCGACCACGAAACACATTATATTCCCGGTAAACCTCGCTCGGATATTCGCGGATCTGTGCTCGGCTCGTCGCCATTGCCAAAACTTAATCCGACAATAATTTTATTGCTTTTTTATGCTAATTCCCGAGAAATCTTAAAGCTCGCACCGCCAACTATAATTCCGCATTATAACCTATGTGTTCTTAATTACTCCTCCTTCTCGCCCATCTTTGAATATTCATTCGGATTTTAACGTTCCGTGCTTCTCCATTCGCGGCAATTATTGTTATGGAGTATTTGAATAAATGGGCGATAATCTTTTTTTATAGCACCAATGACTCATCTAATGTCGAGTTAGCACCCTCTAATAGCCGAATGTAAGTGCCGTTTCTTCACTGAAATAATAACTGAAAACCCTATCAACCGAATTGTTCGTGAACACTGTCTTCAATCCACTTTCACTCTACACTAAGTTTGCACAATTGACTGTTTTAAATTCAAATTTGGAATGAATGATTTTCGAATTGTTCAACAAATTCCAAGAAACTACTTGATCAACACATCAGAAGCAAAATTCTGTCGAATAGTCCGCTTCACAAAAATCAATTTGACTATCAATCAGGCAAATCTACAGAGACCGCCTTACATAGTTTGGTGGAAAAGATTGAAAAGGCACAGGTAGATAAAGATATTGCTCTGTGTGCTTTCATCGACATAGAAGGAGCGTTCGGTAACACTTCCTATGAATCGATAGAGCTAGCCACAACCATCAAGGGGTTCGAGGCCCCAACAACAGGCTGGATACAATCTGTGCTCAGGAGTAGAAGAATAAAAGCTACACTGGGAAGCAGCTCGGTAACTGCACAGGCTACTAGAGGTTGCCCCCAAGGAGGAGTACTGTCTCCTCTTTTATGGTCCATAGTTGTCGATAATCTACTCAACAAACTAAGCACCGCTGGCTTCGATATTCAAGGCTATGCGGATGACATTGTCATAATAATAAGGGGCAAGCATGATAGAATTTTATCAAACCTAATGCAGACTGCAATCAACATGCTGAAAGACTGGTGCTTTCAGGAGGGCTTGTCAACCCAAGCAAAACAGTCATCGTTCCATTCACCAGAAGAAGGAAGATCAATTTAAAGGAACCCATTATGGATGGGACGCCTATCAATTTCTCCGAAGGGGTCAAATATCTAGGAGAAATCCTAGACAAGAAACTCACGTGGAACCAACACTTGACCAAAATCGTCAATAGGGCAATTTCAGCTCTCTGGATATGCCGAAAGATGTTTGGCCAAACGTGGGGTCTTAAACCAAATATGATCTACTGGTATTATCTCACGGTGGTCAGACCCATGGTCACATACGCTTCTCTAGCGTGGTGGACCAAAAGTAAGGAAAAAACACAACTTAAGCTGCAAAAAATCCAGAGACTCGCGTGTCTTGAGATCACAGGTGCTATGCGTACGTGCCCTACTGCAGCAATGGAAGCTATGCTTGACCCACTACCCTTGCATATTTTTATCAAGAGTACTGCAGCTCTCAGTGCATACAGACTGAACTCCACTGAATTGGCCAGACCAGGTGATGTCACTGGTCACATGGTCATTCTACAAGAAATACAAATGGAATTTGCAACCAAACCATCGGACATAATGCCAGCCAGGCTCAGTTTCCATCATACCTTTGAAGTGGTTATAAAAAGCCGCCCTGGGTACGGTTCCGCTGAGCCTCAGCTGGACAGAGGGTGCCTTGTTTGGTACACCGATGGTTCGAAAATAGAAGAAGGGGTAGGCGCGGGTGTATATGGACCCGGATGTAGGCTATTTGAAGCCTTAGGTCACTCATCCACTATCTTCCAAGCTGAAATACATGCCATCAACCTTTGCGCCTAAAGGTGCCTGAGCAAAGGTCTGAGGGGTGCCTACATATATATCTGCTCAGACAGCCAAGCCGCACTAAAAGCCCTAAAATCATTCGATTTCACATCGAAGATCTCATGGGACTGCTTTGAAACACTCATGCAACTGGGAAAGGACAACAAAGTCACACTTATGTGGGTTCCAGGGCAGAACCGAGCCAAAGAGCTACTCAGCCTCAGCAAACCAGAGCTAAATCTTATCACAGGCTTTCTCACAGGACACGGCCCTCTGAGGTACCACCTCAAAAAGATGGGCCTGGCGAAGACTGACACTTGCCGCTTTTGTAACAATGCGACCGAAACCGCGGAACACATACTTTGCTCATGTGAAGTATTAGTCCGCCAAAGGCTGAACCACCTAAAACAGGTCTATCTCACCTCTGCTGAGGTGGAAAATTCAACCGTCAGGAAAATTGTAGGCTTCATCAGAAGTCTGGGGTTAGAGGACCAAAACTAGATAAGGGTAATCACAATAGAGCTTCTAGGTCGCAGTGATCGAGAGGTCATCTACAATCTACAACAAATTCCAATCAAAAGAGTTCAGTAACAAAGTTGAATGATAGGTATAGGGTCCACCCGCTACTTAGATAATATGACAAATTCGGTTCTTCCTCCAAATCGACAGTTGTTTCCGAAACTACCCAAGTGTTTCCGTCCTAATTTTATTCGTCAATACGAATTAATGCATAGATTTCGGGAGGATGTAATACAATGTACTGCGGGGCATATAGCCAGGAAAGTAGTTGTTTTTCTCTCGTTATCTACTATTTTAGTTCATTTTATGAACTATTGTGGAAATTACTTTGAGTTTCTCTCTTTGTCATAATAATTAAGTTTCAATAGATCAAACTGTACTCGAATATTTTCGCAATGCATTTCAAGATTGCTATAGGCCTGTAATTATTGAATTAAATTTTTGGACCTTCCTTAATTGGTTTTACTTTTGCAGATTCAAATGAAATAGGAGACATGTTATACGGATTTCTATAAAATAACTAGCAGGGGGCATGTCAAGTAGTCACAGCAAGGTTTAATACCCTAGGATTTCATCCGGCTCTAATACATTTGACGTTGAACCAAGCAACAGTTCGCCTACGGTGCATTTTTTGTTCAATGATATTATATGAACCCAGTAATGTCTATGGTTGTACAAAATTTGATTCTGACTTTCTGACTCCTCTGATACAACATTTTGTTGGCACCCATGTTAAAGCATCTAAATATGTACACTAAAACTCATATGTTTTGCAGGAGCTACAGCTTAGATGAACGTCTTCTGTCCTGCTCTGATACAGTCGAAGTAAGGCGAGTGAAATTCCATCCTGGCAGCATCCACCACAATCATATTCTAATTCTCACATCTGATAATATGTTGAGGTAAGTGACATTGAACATATCGGACAACAGTGTTTTTTTATGAAAATTCCACATCAGGAATCTATTATTGGTGCCGAAACGGCGACCCAAACTGAATTCACTGTCCTGGAATACTGTTCCCATATTCGGAGTGCAGCACCCAAACATACCCTGAAACTGTTGGATTGTGTCCAAAAAAGGTCAATTCGTCTCGTGGGTGATGCCTCGCTCACAAACTCACTCACTTTTCTGGAACATCGTAGGAGAGTTGGTGATCTGGCTCTTTTTCATAGATATTTCCATGGACGATGCTCTTCTGAAATATCAACAATTGTTCCTTCCTTGGCAGTCCCCGCGAGATTAACCCGTCGAGTTGAGGCTTCGCACCCCTTCGTGGTCACTTTGGAGACCTGCAGAACATCTCTTTCCAAAGACTCGTTCATCCAATGAACAGAGAGGCTCTGGAACACACTGCCAAGGGAAGTGTTCCCCGAGGCATTTAACCTTCAGAAATTTGAGAAGAACACCAATTCCTACCTTATTTTTCTTGGTTCTCACGATGTTCTCTGAACATTACAGGATATCCCTTTTCGTGGGAACCAGAACGTGAAAAAAAAAGTCGAGCAACCAGCCACTCCCGTATGGGAATTTAAGTTTTGAAGTGTTTCTTTCCTTCTTTTCTACTGCGATGGCGTTGCTTTCATATTGTCTATGGAAGGCGCCTCTAGGGGAATATTATGCCGACTTGATTTTTGTTTGGCTAGGCTACGCTTAGTCGGCGGTCTTAGGACTGCTGGCTGGAGACTGCCCTGCACTGATGAGAGTCAAAGAACTTGAAACCGGTCTGTAGGTGTCTAGCGTGGCCTGGCTGAATCGAAATCAATTGGCATTCAGGAAAGAATCACTTGTATCAGTATTCGTTCATACAAGTCGATGCATAGATTTCGGGAGGATGTAATTCAATGTTCTGCGTGGCATTAGCCAGGAAAGTAGTTGTTTTTCTCCCGAAATCTACAATTGTTGGATATAACTTTTTGGATCTAATTAAAAACTATGACGAAAACATCATTTTTACAAAAAATTAGTACTCTTGTTCAAACACAATATTTTCATCCGTTTTCGATAAATACGCAGTTGAACAGTTCAGAGCCTCTGAAGGGGATTCCAAATCATCTCATTTATTTATGAAGAGTGTGCTTTGGAATCGGCTAACTGTTGTGAATAAATTCCTGTGCAACGCCCTGTATCTTTTTCCACAGCAATATCTTATCAAGACATATTTGGTTCTATCGCCATATTTTGGTCCAAACAGTCTCCCTTAGCCTATGTCCCAATAGTTGTGACTCACCCTGTATAAATGAACTTGATGTGGTTCACAGAGACGGTTTTGAAAGCGTTTATCATCCTGGATCAAAACTAGGCAATTTATTAGGCAATCCAGAAGCTAAAGTGGACACACTTGAAAAAACAGGAACTTACAAAACTGCCTTCGGCTTGTATCTCAACTTACCTTGTGCTCGTGTATTAATAGCCATCATTATATGATCGTTGCATAAAATACTAATGTTTTTAGATTGTACCAAATCAAAGATACTGAAGCTTTGAACATCGCAGTGATTCCTGTAGGACAAAAACCAACTGGTATGTTTCCTGGAAGTAAAACACCATTCCTGGATATCTACGGAGAGATAGCGGTCGATTTCGATTTTGGACATCCAGAAATTGCTGAGCTGCCCCCATCGATCGAAGGAAACAATGAGAAAGCAATGTCGAAATATGCGAATAGATCTAAAGAAGGTGAATGATTGAAATTTCAATACAGCTACGGAATATATTATTCTGATCAATCAAATTCTGTTTGTTTCAGAAAAGTACATGATCAACGTAGAAACACAAACTTTCGACAAAATCGCAACAAAGGACCCCACATGGAATAGAGATGATTGGGATAAATTGGTTTGGCCAATTTATATCCTAAGAGGAGATATGACTATCCATTCACTCAATATGGACTTGAAAAAACGGTGAGATGTCATACCTGAATTCATGTATTGAATTGAATCGGCTTTTACTTGATGAAAATTCATTATAACAATGAGGAAAGAACACACCTTAAAGATAATTTTCACAAATTCACTTCTGCACACGATAATTGATCCGCTAAACATGCAATATTAAATATATTTCTAGTATATCTAGATATTCCGCAATGAAATCAGTATTGCTTGTATTTCCTGTTTATTGCCTATATCCCTTATACTAATCCCAGAATATTTCTTGTATTTTCCTGGATATTTCCTGTATTTAATAGTTGATATTTCTGTATTCCCAGAAAGATTCCCAAAATATGGCCTACTTCTCAATGACCAGAAAATGTAGAGAGAGAAATACTCGGATGGATATTTTTCTTAGTGTAGGTAATTTATATAAAAATAAAAGACAATATGCAAAGTATTATCATTAATTGTTTTAGATGTATGACAAACTGACATTTATCATACAGGGCGTGGAAAGAAATTCTGAATTGAGAAAAACCCAATCACGAATCTGCGATTGAAGGTCTATAAAAATAACAAGTTTCCATCGTTCAAGTTTGAACCCCTTGATTGGGTATGAAAGTATTGAAAAGGAATATTCTCAGATATATTATAAACATGAAAAAATGGATACATTTGAATAAATACATTGAGAATTCGCATTCTCTATGTGATGAAATTATTAATCCTTTCTCGGCATATTCAACAGAAAACAACTACTTTCCTGGCTATATGCCACGACGAACATTGAATTATATCAATTGAACATACACGATAAGAATTTGAGCATAAAATGAATATCGTCTGAAATTGAGAATTGACATTCTCTTCCAGAATCGGATGAATACTATGATGAATATAACGATATAAAAAATATATTACTTACCAAATTGGTATGAAAATTGGAATGTATGGGAGAAATATACTAGTATACATATTCTGTTCTTGTTGAGTCGTGAATTTATCAAAAATCATCCGTATCCATGATGTTTGGGATATATGCACATCTCTTTCACATAGGTTAGATGATTTTGATTCGAATAAAATTCATTTCGAGTTTCAAACTCTCCTCAGTAACCTGAAGTCCAGTCATTCCTTCAGCCATTCTTCATTTAATACACAATTTTCACATTTCTATAATAATATAACTAAAACTATAGTGGAACTGACATCTATCTGAGAATGAAAATTTGTTGACTTATCTCCAGTCATGTGGGTGGCAATTGTTTTAGATGTATGACAAACTGACATTTATCATACAGGGCGTGGAAAGAAATTCTGAATTGAGAAAAACCCAATCACGAATCTGCGATTGAAGGTCTATAAAAATAACAAGTTTCCTTTTCAATACTTTCATACCCAATCAAGGGGTTCAAACTTGAACGATGGAAACTTGTTATTTTTATAGACCTTCAATCGCAGATTCGTGATTGGGTTTTTCTCAATTCAGAATTTCTTTCCACGCCCTGTATGATAAATGTCAGTTTGTCATACATCTAAAACAATTGCCACCCACATGACTGGAGATAAGTCAACAAATTTTCATTCTCAGATAGATGTCAGTTCCACTATAGTTTTAGTTATATTATTATAGAAATGTGAAAATTGTGTATTAAATGAAGAATGGCTGAAGGAATGACTGGACTTCAGGTTACTGAGGAGAGTTTGAAACTCGAAATGAATTTTATTCGAATCAAAATCATCTAACCTATGTGAAAGAGATGTGCATATATCCCAAACATCATGGATACGGATGATTTTTGATAAATTCACGACTCAACAAGAACAGAATATGTATACTAGTATATTTCTCCCATACATTCCAATTTTCATACCAATTTGGTAAGTAATATATTTTTTATATCGTTATATTCATCATAGTATTCATCCGATTCTGGAAGAGAATGTCAATTCTCAATTTCAGACGATATTCATTTTATGCTCAAATTCTTATCGTGTATGTTCAATTGATATAATTCAATGTTCGTCGTGGCATATAGCCAGGAAAGTAGTTGTTTTCTGTTGAATATGCCGAGAAAGGATTAATAATTTCATCACATAGAGAATGCGAATTCTCAATGTATTTATTCAAATGTATCCATTTTTTCATGTTTATAATATATCTGAGAATATTCCTTTTCAATATTATCATTAACATTGAATTATTAACAGCATTCCGAAATTCCATTCTCGTTAATAGATTACCCTTAAAAATATCCTAATATGGAATAAAGTATATTCAACATCGTTTTCTTGGCCATTTTTGAAAGTATATTTTTCCATTCCTGATATATTTACACTTCTTCAATCCACCCGCACATTTGCTTTCACCTATGTTATAGTTTGATGAATATGTTCAATATAAGTAAACTGGGCGTCAATTGAAACGTTAATAGTGAAATTTGGCATCAAGTTTGACTTCTCGTAATTTCTAAAATATTGAATGAATTTTGAATTGCCGCCCAGATTCTGAATGTCTTTTTCATCGTCTTTCGAAGCGTTCCTTCAGGGTCAGGGGAAGCCCAACAAAATAATAATAATGTATCGTTGTTTGTTTTTGTTGATGAGATGTGTTGATTTACTGCTCACTAAGGTAGAAAACTATCATCATATACTGCGAAGTAATAAATTATTGATTGTTTTTGAGTAACCTGGTATTCATATCAGCTCCAACACTTTTCTGAAATGTATAAAAGCATCCATTTATGGAACTCCTCTAGAATCAGTTCATTTAAAGAAATGCAAACACATTTTTTTTTTTCGGGAACCACAGTAGTTTTTGGCAAAAACTCGAAAATGTCCCGAGGTATGGTTGCTATTTATGAAATGCCCGAATAAAATATGAACATCGTGGTCTTCCGACAAAATGGGAGGACGGAGAATTTTTTTCAAAATGCACAAAACTTTGTTTCACCCTGTATCATGAGCCATGATTAATTCAGAAGAAGCTGTAAGGAACGGTTCGAAAGACGATGAAAAAGGCATTCAGAATCTGGGCGGCAATTCGAAATTCGTTCAATATTTCATAAATTACGAGAATTCAAACTTGACGCCAAATTTCACTATTAACGTTTCAATTGACGTCCAGTTTATTTTCCACATGCATGGCAGTGAAAATATATGAGTCAACCATATTTGATACGCCAAATTTCACTATTAACGTTTCAATTGACGTCCAGTTTATTTTCCACATGCATGGCAGTGAAAATATATGAGTCAACCATATTTGATATCACAAAAACGAAATTATCGAAATATGCAATAATATACAGAGGATTCCTTAGAGGAAATGTAATTTTCCACTTGCCCTGTATAATAATGATGAAGGTTCACTCGATTGTTCACTATATTAGACTCATATGCACAACTTGTTCAAGCAATTTCCTAAAAATGCCTGTATTCCCTTCGAGATTCCCTTCAAATTGCCTGTATTTCCAAAATATTGCTTGTATTACCTGAATATTTCTCGTATTTTCTGATAACTGCCAGAATTTCCAGAAAAATGTTCAGGTATTTCCGAAGTGGTTTTCCTTTTCGGCTAAACATTAGCTTCTTCACGGTGTATATCACAGTGTGATTTCAGAAATGGCTGACCTTTTTCGAAATTGCAAAACATCATATTTTGTGAGGTTCAAATTACGCAACTTTTGTCTACTCTTATCAACTTTCAATCTCTTACCGTTTGGGAAATAGCGATACTATCCCTATTAAATCGTTGAGACCATGTACACTGCTGCCCAAATAAATCGTAACGATTCTTGAGTTATGTCGGTATATTTTGTTCGAGCCCATTCATTCACTATTCATCGTTTGGGCACAATGTCGATCTACACAAGGGTCCACGACGTCAGCATTTCATGACATGATTGAAATGTTTTGGGTGCATTCAATTAGCAAGAAATTAAGCAGTATTGGTTTCAAGATTACCAATGCTTTTTGATATATTGATTATGATGGAAATGGCAAAGGCTATTTTTACGGTAGTAGAGATTCAGGATATTGAAGACTTGAAAAAATATGACATCTATAATATATTCATCCAAAAAAAAAAATTCCTTCGAGTTTCTTTATATTTGATCAGTTCTATTAAAATAACAAAATGATTTGAATTTGTTTTATCTATCTAGAGGCATCATGAGCAGCAGTTGAGTATCAGAATCGAAGAATATGTCCCGTCACTATTTTTCTGTGTTCAACTCTCTTGGCCCTTGAATCATTTGCTCAACTCACTTCGAACATTGTTATCTTCACCTAGGGCAAGTTGCAAGGGAAATTCTAGAGAACTGCACAATTTAAAACAAGTATTTTACTTCTCAAGAAATAATGCCAAGGTATTTTTTTCCATATCAATATCAGCCACTGATCTGAATAAATGATTTTCATTTAACTACATCAGAAGTATATGTTATTATTGCAAACGAACCTACCACGTTTGATGGATATCAGGTATAGGAATCAATAAAAACAAGATTTTTTAAACTTGCCACACCCTGTAACTCGAAAAACTACGGAACTTTTTTTATTTTCTTGCGAGAAATAATGAATCAGTCACAATGTTATGTACCACCGTGCAGATTTTGTTGGAAATAATATCAGCCGATGACGTTCATCGAATCCTTCAAGAATGCACTCTATGAATCATATTATTTCAATTTTTTCATTTAATTTGACAAAATAGTTTCAATAACGATAATCAATGTTTCAACTACCGACCTTTCCAGAGGAATGAATATCCAGAATCCTAAACACTGACAATATTGAATTTCTTCAGATACTTCATGTCTATGCAGAGGCGGATTAACCAGGAAGCAAAAGAAGCCAGCGCTTTGGGCGCCAAGATTTGAGTTCATGAAATAATAAAAATCTCAAGAATGGTAGCATTCAAAAAAAATATCTCCGCAAGTCTGAAAAGTCGGAATATAGAATATACGTAGAATATATTACGATGCACGATGTACGACTGCACGAGTACCGATCCCAGAGCGCTCTTGTTAGGATAAATATAAAACTAGAATATTTAAGGGAACCAAGTATAAGAGGAGTTTTTGCAAATTGCGAAATAGCCCTTAGGGTGCACGTAAGCACTGCTGTGACAAATTGCAGCTGTGAAAGATCCTTTTCTGTGCTGAAAAGAGTTGAAAACTATTTGCGATCCACAATGTCCGAAAAAATGTTGGATTCAAAGGCATTGCTTGCCATTGAAAACGAAATTTTTCGGAAATTAGACTTTGCGGAAATTGTAAATGAATTTGCTCATGCAAAAGCAAGGAAGAAATCTTTTCGTTGATAATGTCATATTGACGGCTTGTTTTGTTCCAATTGCACATTTTTTTAGTTATGTTATGATTGTTGTGATAAAGAACATATTTTTTTCTGCAACCGACACAAAAGTCGTCCATTTTGATACCAAAATTAGCTCTTGAATTGACGTTTCTATTACTGGCACAAAAATAGGTATGTTGCTAGGCAACACATTTAGTTCCTAGGAGCTAAAGTCGAATTTTAGTTCCTAGGAGCTAAAGTCGAATTTTAGTTCCTAGGAGCTAAAGTTTAACTTTAGCTCCTAGGAACTAAAAAGGATGTACTGGACGTCATCAAGAATAAACAACATTGTGATGGTTGGTTATTTGGGTTGAGACGCATAATTGATTTGTTTCCGATTTCAGCAGATTTGGCATTTCATACCGCTGCTGGAGATATAAATACACCTTATTATACTTTAGTATTGGAATTATAAACATCTCAGTTAAGTATTTTTGTTTTGATCAGGGAAGCCTTCAAGATTCCAATACTTGCTTGATCTGTATTTCATTCGTTATTCTCGGTATGGATAACTTGTCTAGTCTAGTATGAAGAGGAATAAATAATCACTATTATCATTGTTGATATCCTCACCAACCTAACATTTTCTACGTCTTGTTCCTATAGCTGGCACTGGCGCGGTATTTGCCATTAGAGCACCTGATCCATACACAAATATGTCACTCTGTGGTTGTATTTATATTGAAACTACAATTCGAACATCCTAGAAAACCTAACCTGCTGTTAATGCAGGTAGAATATTCTCACCACATGGATTGTTTGTCAATATTTGTTGCATTGCATTGCATTCACATGTTTATTTGAGTTAATTGTTTCGGTTGCAGAAAAAATAGCATGTTTCAATCGGATCAAAAGTGACCTTGTTCGACTCGCAAATTTTGCTTTCGCTTGGCTTCGCTAAACGCTCCGCAAATGCAAAATTCGCTAGTCAAACAAAGTGTCACTTTTGATCCTAATAAAACAATCTTCTATTTTTTTACATTTTTTAACATGTAATGGAACAAACATCTATTTAAATCATTTTATTTTTCTTTCAATTGTTTTGTTTTCTCATTTCATAATTTATTTTCGTGTTAAAAAAGACAAATGAGGCCAGGGGAGCGCAAATTTTGGTTCAGCTTGGGGCGCAATATACCCTTGATCCGCCTCTGTGTCTATGAACTTTCATGTCACAACGTGTCACAAGCTCCCATACTTCCATATTTTAAAATTAATGATATTGAACCAAAGTATAGAATAAATTTTCACTACTCATCCTACCTACTTCTTAACACCATACCACGAAGAGGGATAATAAGAGGATTTTGGTATAGAAAACTACCTAACGTCGCGGTCGTGCTGTGTAATGATAACAGATATAGTAGTCTGTGGGCATAAGTTGATATTTCGATGAAATCATCACACGAATAGTACCGATTTATTTGGGCAGCAGTGTACATATGACTCGCACATTATATCCTTCGGCGCTTTGCACCTCTGGATATAATAGTTCACTTCTCACCCTAGGTGTATATTACTACTACTATTACTAATATTCCCACTTTGTTGAACATTTGTTGAAATTACTTCGAGTGTTTCCTCATTGTTCAGTGATATTTTTTTATAAGGAACGAAGTTATTTGAAGTATACAAATATTTCTTGTTTAGGTGGAAACCTTCCTTGAGAGGACCACTGCCCATGTCTTCTCTTGAAAACAATGGGCAAAATGAGGCATGCTCTTTAGTCTGTCTGAATACTGTTCCACAAATTATGTGTATAGCACAATCAAATGGTACTTTATGCCATTCCATTATACTGGACATAGAAGAAGACGAAATCAACAAGGTTAGTGATAATAAACTCTTTATTTATTTATTTATTTTTTCATTTAGGTTTACGCCACCCTTACAGCTAATGCCTTAAGCAGGTTGGGGAAAATACAGTGAGCACAAATCACAATACAAGGATTAAAATAGTACGAAAACGAAAACAACAAAAATTGGTTATACTTACATGCAACAACTATGCATGTGAACTGAAAATAAGAAAAAAAAGTTCACATGCAGAGTTGCATGAATAGATGAAAACAGAAGTGAGTTATGACAAAATCACTTCCTTGTATTCGCCTGATGATGTGTAGAAAATGTCTATCTCATTCTGGTATCTCATTTAGTTTTCACAAATTTGATGTATAGGAGACAACATGCGTGAATTTGTATTAGGTGCTGGCAAATAAAACATGTTATACGATCGTGCAGACCCTCTAGGTACATGAATATTCAGTGAAGAGAGTAGGTGGGGAGAATCTAGTTGAGGTGTTTGAAAATAAAAATTATGCTGTGACACGTACGACGTGTCTGCAACGAGCTAGTACCGAAACATTCCAGCAATGATTCCTGAGAAATACCACGTGCAGGATACTCCCTACCTATCTACTCTAAAGCATATTGCTCAGCGAAAACGTCTATGTACATTCTCGATCCTGGTGACCAAATAATGGAGGCGTATCCAAGTTTAGTTCTCACAAATGCGTCAAACAGGAACTTGAGAGTATTAGGGTTAGTAAACTGCTTGGAATTCCTGATCACAAAGCCAAGAGTTTTATAAGCAGACGAAACAGTATCGGAAGTATGTTCAATAAATTTTAATTTAGTGTCAGATTTTACTTCTAAGTCAGTGAAGTTGGTGCGCCTGTCAAGCTTGGTGCCATCAATCTCGTAATCAAAAATAGCTGGTTGTTTCTTGCGCGTGAAAGATACAATATTGCATTTTCCTATGTTTAAAGGAAGTAGATTGAACTCGCACCATCTTCTTGCAGTTTCAAGCTGTCAGTTGGGTTTTCGATTTGTCCATATAATTTACAGTCATCCGCGTATAGTGAAAGATTACAATTCAGTTTAAGTCCAAGTTCGAAATATTTCCATTATAAACCGACTATTTCACTCTTGATCTCCAGAATCAATCAGAATCGGCCATTTTCAAGGTTTCTTCTGTATTACAACGATATTTTTTTGCTTACTAAATTTTATCGGATTTGTTCTACCAATACAGAAGCCAAATTGACTGAATTGACCCACACGTGACCAACCTTTCTCGTTTTTCAGCGATAAAATTTTGGACGTTCAAAACGTCAATTATGTTGGAAGCTAGAATGATGGATGCAGTGTGCGCAACTCTCGGAAGCCGCTTGTTTATTGTCTCAATCATGGAATACTCATACGAATAAAACTCGTGATACTATTTTTCCTGAAAATATTCGTGTCGATTGACATACTCCAGCTTGCTGCATCAATTTCGCTCATGACATTGTTCCAAAACTTCTCGTCTACGGCTCGAAAGTTTTGATAAACAATGTCATTCGGCGAAGTTATTAGGCTGTCGTAATAATCGCCGAATATTTTCGGCCAAATAGTATCACTTGTGGTGTTAGATATGAGAAAAATATTGTGTCTTATAGAGTGATCTATATGATAGGTTCGAAGAATTATTCAGTGGGTCGTCGTCACAGAATGAAGTTTACATGATGTTGAATTTAAGCTATCTCTTCGGCTCTATGAATGAAAATGTTTGTATCATTTCAATGTACCTGTTAGGGACAGACCAGATTATTATTTGCTACAAAATGTCACTGCGCTTGAAATTTCCAATGAGAAACCAAAGAAAAAAATTTCAATCGATAGTCAGTGATACCTTTTTAAAAAAAAATCGAAGAAGAAAAATAAAGGTGTATTGTAAAAATATGGAATTTCACTTATATTTGGACGTTTCTGGAACGAATCTGCTTCTGTTGTCAACATAAAAATGGAAAATATTTCTTGACATCGACGTCTTTGCTTTTGTGTTTTGACACTTTTCAGTGACAGATGAGCTGTCAGATGAATGTGAGTTACAGGATGATCATTCATTAATTTTCTTACTCAGATTTTATTCATCAACTGCACAGGAAGCAGACGAGAATTCAAGCGGATTGTTTCAGTTTTCCTTTTTGGTTGTTATCTTCTCTTCCTATGATTTTTTATTGTTATTCTACTCCACCACAAGTTGTCTATTTTTTTCGCTTGGAGCGCACGGAAGAAAAACCCTATAATGTTCGGAGAACATCGTGCGTGCCTAGATCAATGGAAGAAGTACCCTGTTCCTCACATTTTCTAACAACTTTGTCACTGAAAATCGTAAATAACACAAAAACCGTAAAGACATCACTACCAAGAATTATTTTCCATTTATACTTTTAGTTACTTGTATTTGTATAAAAAATCATAGAGTTCGTGTCGGCGAGATGTAAGCAAATCAAGAATAATCTGATAGCAATGTAAAAAATGTTGGCGAATTGATCTTAACTTTGTTGATAACAAAAGAGCAATTTTGTTCGAATTTTCTGGATGACGAAGCCCAACAAATTGGTACTTCAAACCGACTTGATTTTTAGATGTCATAGATACATCACTGATTTGACAAAATAGTTTCAATAACGATAAGCAATGTTTCAACTACTGACATTTTCAGAGGAATGAATATCCAAAATCCTAAACTCTGACAACATTCAATTTCTTCAGATACTTCACTGCAACATCATAAAAGTGACGTTTTCATTGGGTACACCTATTATCATATATTTGTATATATACAAATGATAACTTTCGTTCCTACCAACTTCACTTGTATATACAGGGTGTGTGTGGCCTATCACACGTTTCTGGAGAACGGAACAGGATTATTTTGAAAATTCGATGCCTTGGGCAGTTCTGCTCAATCTAAAAATATTTTCAGCTCTGTTGCGTTGCCGCACATATCAAAAAGTAGCAACAATATAACTTTGTTATTTCGAATATGACACCCTCTATATTATTGCGTTTCCAGATTCTTCCTGAAGAGCTGATTTCATCGGTCTATTACACTTGAGGTCTATCGGAAATGATTACAGGGATATAGGCGAGATTATTCAACTTTAGGAATATTTTGTGTTTGAAACAATTCATTATTGGTTTAAACGGCTTCCCTTTGCTATCTTCACTTTTCATTTACCATCAATTGATATTTGATTGGAACAGATACAAGGTGACCAGAATTTTGAATTATGAACCACCCTGTATTTGATCAATGAGATAGGGACATGGAAGCCGTTTTCACAAATAATTAATAGTTCCAACACACAAAAATTACTATATTTGAAATATCTCAATTTTTCACCCCTTTTATTTCTGTAATCATTTCCGCTAGACCCCAATGTGTCATAGATCGGTGAAATCCGCTCTTCAGAGAGATTCAAAAAATATAATATAATACAGGGTATACCATTCCAAATAACTAAGTTATTGCTACTTTTCGTTTGAAGCGGCAACCTCGAAACGCTGGAAATGTTTCAAATCGATAAAACAGAACTGATTACCTAAGAAAACAAATTTCTAAATGTCTCGTTCTTTAGAAACGTTTAATAGGCAATCGAGTTTGGGTCACCTTGTATGTATATTACACACATACATAACAAATTATAGAGAAAAATGACGTTTACACGACGTCCTTGCAACGTCATGAAACTAACGTCATAATTCACTCATCCAATTGACGTTTACTCAACGTCGTAATTATGACGTGATTATCACGTCAGAAATTGGTGTGTGACGTCTGTGACAAAAAAAAACACCAATTGGGTACGTCACAGCGACGTGACCATTCTTCATCTGGTTGCCTGGGATACGCACTGCGCATACTCGTCAACCAACTTTTCCAAACCGATCACGTGGATTGCGCAAGTTCTGAGAACTCCCATTTATCATTCGAAGGTCTGTGGCGTCTGCTCACTAATATTCAGTGAAGTGATAAATCAAATGATTGAGGCGGATTATTATTCTGTTATTAACGCTTTCACTAAGAATTTGAAACATGCTATCTCCAATAAGTCAGACAACAAATTTTTTCTTCTGATCTTTTTCCAAAATATGTTCATCGGGCTTAGTACGCTGGTAACTGTTGTTTGATCATGAAGAGTTTAAGGTTTAAGAAGGAAGTTTATAATGGTCTAAAATGGCTTTAATTGAAGTAAATCCTATGACAGTTAATGAAAAAAACAGATTAAATCAAGAGTTTTTCTCCAAATGACATGAAAAGTGTATTTTTAATGACACTTAACAGGCAGAAAAGGTGTACTTTTACTGCCTAGGCAGAAAAAGTTCGTTGCTATGCAACGTTCCAAGTAATAATTCGAATCAAATTGGTAATCAAAATTGACACTGACGTTGGGTGAACACAAAATGATGGATTATTTGGAGTTTGCGTGAAATTGGACGAATTTGGAGAGAAAATTATATGTTTCACACGGCAGAAAAGCAGATTTAATGCCTTGGCTGGTTTCCTAGCCTCGGCTACGCCTTTTGGCTATGAAACGCCAGCCGCGGCATTGAATCTTGTGCTTTTCTGCCTAGTGAAACAATAGTTATTTGTTTTACTAGGCAGAAAAGTCCAAATAATCCATCATTTTGTGTTCATCAAAAGTCATTGTCAATTTTGATAACTAATTTGATTCAAATCATTACTTGGAACGTTGCATAGCAACAAGATTTTTCTACCTAGGCAGTACTTTTTCTGCCTGGGCAGTAAATACACCTTTTCTGCCTGTCAAGTGTCATTAAAAAGCTACTTTTAATGTCATTTTGAGAAAAATAACAATTTGTTGTTTTCGGATAAATGAAGTGTTGTTCTCCATAATCAACTTCCTAGTTCACATGCCAATCTGAGAGAGGCTGAAATGAACATAACACATATAATATCACCTACTTATTAATTTTCAGATGAAAGAAAATGCTAAATTCATCTCCCACATACCTACTAAGGAACTCTGTGTTTTTGAAACCATCGAACTTGAGCTGGGTCTGATGACTAACGAAGATGATCTTGATTCCAAATATAAATGCCCCATATTTCTGAAGAAAGACGAATCCAAACCAGGGAAATATTATGCGACCCACAGCGCAGGTGTTCACTCTGTGGCCATTTCTTGCGTGAAAGAATTACAACATTTCGTTGATTCCCAAGAAGGTTTGTACTCCATATGAATGACTATACAGGCTGATTCGCAGTAGATGTCGTATTAGAATTATCTGGAGAACGAAAAGACAAAACATTCTAAAAATTTGTATGCATATAATCGAACATTCTACACTCTCAGAAAGAAATAGCAACTTGATTATTTCAACACTACATTGATTTCTCATTTAGTTCGCATGTCTTATATTTCCTTATTCCTTTCAGCCCCACTTTTTCCTTATGCACAAACTGATTTGGAATTGTGATTTCTGACTCATTTTGTATATAGTTAGGTTACTCCTACAGGTTTACATCATTTAACATTTGTTTTTTGACATTGACGGATGGGAGAAATATGCCCCATTGGTATTGTTGAATGGATATCATATATGTCCCACTGGTAACCACATCATGAATGAGACAATCGAAGCTCCACATAATGGGACCTTTGAAAAGGCTCACGAAAGAGGTATCATCTCTCAACAGGCGAGACCTCAAAAAGGAAGTGGGGCTCCTAACGGGGCACAACCATCTCAATAGGCACCTTAGAGCTTATTGAGATCAAAGATGACCATTTTTGCAGATGATGCCTGGAAACGTCATCGCATGTCCTCATTGAGTGCCCAGCACTGACACATCAGAGGAGGGCTGTCCTTGACAACATAATTTCGAGGCCAGAGGACGTGAAAGAGATTCAGCTGACGAAGCTGCTGAACCCCAACCCCAACCCCAAGCGATCCTACCGCCAGTCATCGTAGGCAAAGCCGGGTCCTCTCCTGTGAACGAGGTAGAGGAACGTGTGAAAGTCCTCGAACGATCACTCATTCAACGGGACGAGAGGATTCTTGTCAACATGAGTAGCAATCAGGCCAAAGCCTCTTGCGACGGCGACCCATCAAACGTAACAAGAGGAATCTTGTTGACATGGGTACCTGGGGTGATGAGGATAGCCCCATCAGGCCGTACGTACGGCCTGGTGCCTCACCAATTGGGTTGGACTCCAGGGGGCAGCGGTTTCCAAAAAACACCACCAGACTACGGTAGAGGAGGTGAAGAAGAATCCCACTATGGGTCAAGTGGGAGGATATCTTGCCTGCCTCGGCGGGTGAGCTGCGTTTCTGCTCAGGCACTGACACTGAAGAGCCAGTAGTCTGTTTTATCAGACGGCCTCACCATTGGTATAATAAAATGGTAGCAAAAGAACATGCCGTTTCATAACGGAGATGGCTCTAGCGCGCTGATTTGGCGTATCCAAATCTTCCATTTCTCTCTGGGGTGTGCTGTCGGTATAAGTCGAGAGACAGGGGACCGGCAGTCATCCCCTAGGGAGTCTTGGGAAGGAGGGGGGGGGGTGGGACTTGGTCTCACCCATTGCTACCCCGGCAACATTATTGATTGATTGATTGATTGATACCCAGCTGAATGTCGGAATATGTGGGCGCACAATGAGTTCGAATAAAGAGGTCTACGCGCAGGGGTATTAACCCGCCCACCAATGATTCGAAGAAGAAGAAGAAGAAGCTCTTCCTTTTTTTTATGTATGATTAACTGATAAACTGATATTCATCATACAGGACGTGGAAAGACATTCTGAGTTGAGAAATCCTAATCACGAATCTATCTTCGATTGAGGTCAATACAAACAAGTTTCCATCGTTCGAGTTTGATCCCCTTGATTGGGTCAATCATGAACATAAAAAAATGGATATGTATACATAAAGAAATACATTGAGAATTCGCATCCTCTATGTGATGAAAATATCAATTCTTCCTCGGTTTATTCAACAGAAAACAACTACCTTCCTGGCTATATGCCACGACGAACATTGAATTACATCTATTGAATACACACGATAAGAATTTGAAAACAAAATCTTCCGAAGTAGAGAATTTGCATTCTCCCTCATATAAAGATATGCACATAATATCATTCTGACTATTCAACAGAAAACAACTACTTTCCTGGCTATTTGCCACGTCGAACATTGAATTATATCTGTTGAATAAACCGAGAAAGAATTGATATTTTCATCACATAGAGAATGCGAATTCTCAATGTATTTCTTTATATAAATATCCATATTGTATGTTCATAATTATATCTGAGAATAATCCTTTTCAATACTCTTCCTTTCTATTTATAAAGTCCTGAAACTTCGACAATTCATGCGCTGACTAGAAACAAACGTAACCATTAAAAGTGCAGTCAGTCCGTTTTTCACTATTCGGAATTGAAATATCCGTATTGCTGGAATTGGCTAGCTCTAGTCGTTTCATACAGACTGTAGAGCGGCATTGTTTTGCGAGTCCGACTATACTGATATAATGAAATTATCATGTTTTTAGATCCCACTTCTGATATTTTCATCAATCCCAGCAGAGCCGAATATATGGTATGCACCAAGACAGTATCTTCCCAGAAAGTCAACCCAGTGATTGGATTCGCTCTGTATTACGAACCGCCAGCTATCATAACACTTTTGAGCGACGGTAATCTCGTCACATTAGGAGTGATGTATACATCGGATATGCCGAAGATTGAGGATCTTACAGTACATGAAGATGATGATATCGCCATACATTCTCCGCTCAGAAAGGTAAGTAGGATTACCTTCCTAGATCAGTGTCCTTCATAGCAATACCGAAAATACTTAGGTGAATATGTGTTTGAAAAATAGGATGTTTCGGAAAACATCTGGCGGCTTGCCGGAGCATTTTGACATAGTGGTGATTTCAGGTACATTTTGTGTTTCAGATGCTACAAGAGCCATTTGATCAGTACATCCAAAAAATCTTGAAGAAAACTTCAACTCAACCAATTCTCAAGTTGGCTTCTACAGGAAAAACAAATCAGGAACAATGTTATGAGGTAAGTGTTGAAGATTTGAAGAACAACTGATTTTCAGATGATATATATCCCAGCATTTTTCACAAATTCGAGATACACATAAATTACCGATATAATTTTTGTTGTGGAAAGAATGAATGAATTATAAATACAAATGGACCACAATTCACATTAATAGAATGAATATACAAAAAACGAATATCTCAACCATAACTAATATATCTAAATATATTTTCAGATTTTTTCTATCATTTTATTGATGACAAATGACATTTTCAACACAACACAATAATATTGGTCAGACTGGTAGAAAGGTTCAGGCTACCCAGGCAACCAGATGACGTTCCAGTGACGTCTTTTTTACGTTACTTGAATGACCAAGGTGACGTCAATAGTTGACGTCGCATCGACGTGATAATGACGTGAATAAGTCACAGCCCAATGACGTCATATTACTCACGTCGTATTGACGTCACTCACTCACCAAACTGTGACGTCCAACTGACACCATAACACCACTAGCCTCTGATGACATTATATAAATATTGATTATGCATTGTTGAGTCTGTTTGGTGGGTCCCTCCTGTGTCATGTTCATTCAATCGCCTATTCAGCAGCGTTATCCTTCAGTACGCATCTCCATCAGAATGCAATCAGTTACTCGTATTTGTATAAAAAATTATGTAGTTTAAGTCGGCGAGATGTAAGCAAACAAAGAATTGTTTGATAGCAATGGAAACGAATGTTGGTGAACTTGGCTTCACTTCGTTGAATAATGTATATTGATGCATTATTTGTCACCCAACAAAAATCTAAATAGTAAATTATTGAAAAATTTCATAAATGACGAAGCTCACCAAATTGGTACGTCACACCGACGTGATTTTTAGACGTCATAGATACGTCACTGCAACGTCATAAGAGTGACGGATTCCATATAGGTATACCCATACAATCATTTTTATATATACCTACATATAGTTTGTTGGTTTCCGAGATATACAGTGAGTCAAAGTTTTTCAGAAAAAAGTTTTTCTACTACTTTTCGGGTATATTAATAATTAGAATAAAACTTGCATGTTGATTCGCTTCCATGAGTTATACTTCTGTTTCACATGATAATATATAAGTATCCATGGTTTAGAGGAAGTCTGGGCAAAAATGGACGTCGACAGGACGTCACTGCTACGTCATGAAACTGACGTCTTCTTTTACCCATCTAATTGACGTTCACTCGACGTCGAAACGATGACGTGATTATCACGTCATAGAAAGTACGTCATAGTGACGTCATAAATTGGTGTGTGACGTCTCTGACGAAAAATCACCAATTAGGGACGTCACAGTGAGGTGATCATTCGTCATCTGGTTGCCTGGGTAGAATTGTCGAACATATCAAACTCACAAAAGGATTCAGAAAGATGCACTTGATACTGATTTTGATTTTCTATCCATTGATCTGGTGGGACAAATATCGGTAACAATTGTGCTAGTAATGATAAAAGCATGACATTTTTAGGAATTGTTCAGTATATAGTTCTTAGTAATTCAAAATAGGGAGGCCCTGAAAAAGTTGACATTAAAATAGCAGGTGATCGAACGGTCAATAGAATTGTATTTTTCAATATTAAAGCATGACATTTCTAGAATTTGTATTTGACATAGAAAGGTCCTGGAAAAGTTCATATAAAAACGAAATAGCGGCCTTGTCAATTCAAATTTAATTTAAAACACAGATGACCGGTCATTTCAATTGTATTTTTAATTATAAAAGAATAACATTTTTAGGAATTGTTCAATAAATGGTCCTTATTGACATGAGACATGAGAAAACCACGAGAAAATGCGAAAATCAAAATGGCGGTCTTGCCAATTCATATTCAATATTTGTAACATATAGGTGAACGATTATAACAAAATCAAAAGCATGACATTTTCAGAATTTTTTCAGTATATCGTCCTGAAAGATTTCATATAGGAAAAGGTCCTGAAAAATGTTGAAATAAAAACATAAATAATTGTTCTTATTCTATATGTCGTGTGGTCCTAGCTATTGTAATCATTTGATTATTATTTTCGAAAAATTTGATTTGTTGATTACAGCTTGCCGGATCACCCACTATATCTCTGACATCCGACTATTCTGTCCATGTTATTGATCATGCGCAACAGAGTTAACATTCGCTGATTAAAGAATCATAATCATTGTAAACATATTCCTTCCAATAGTATATTTAATGTTTCAATGAAAACAAAGAAAATATATGAAAAATAAATATTAGAAAAAGAACGATAATCGGATCCTTCTAAGAAATACGGCAATTAAACTTATATGTGTATCGTATGTAACTAGATGCAGAGGTGAAGAAAATATTTCTGGTAGTTACAGGGTGTCCCTAAAAGGTCATTACAAAAACTTACCACATATTCCTCAGACCTAAATAATTCAATACCTTACCTCAGGGCAAAATTGCTTAGATTGAGCCCCTTTGTTTTTCTGGAGTTACAATTTTCAAATCGTTTTTGCTTCATAACTTTGAAACGGCTCATGAGATTTAACTCAAATTTGGTACGTTGGCAAAGCTTCATTGGGCAATAAAACCCATATCATGATTATGATGAATATCATTCCATGGACGTAGAACTTGAATTTTTCAGTAAATAAAACAGCTGAAACTCCTACGCCAATGGAATGCAAGGGGTTTCAATATGGGATTTGGATTGCGTAGCTTGTTCACTACAAAAAAGCTACTGTTGATAAAATTATAGTGAACTATTATCACGTATTTTCGAAACGCCCGAACAAGAAAGGATATCTATAAGTATGTCAATGCATTGATAATAATATAATATGTATATCAATTCATCTAGCTTCTTCAGAGAGCAGCTCAGGTCTTGAGAGAGGAATACTTCAAGAACCATGCCAAGGCGAGAGAAGAACTAGAAAAGAGAGTCCAGACCTTGCTGATGATGAAAAAGAATCAACAAAAAGAAATTCAATGCATGAACGATGAGACGGATCGTATGCAGGAGAAGGCTAGCAATTTGGCAGAAAAATACGAGGATATCAAGGATAAACAGGACGATCTGTTGAAAAAGTGAGTATTCTCTGGCAGGTCTATGATAAAAACAATTCCTGAATCGAATAGTTTTTCTGTTACTATCCTTAGAAATGACTATTATTCAAGGAATTTCTCTAATGAGACGTTTCAACCTTGATACATTATGAATAACTGTTGATATGTTGTAGGCGTTATCTATCGTCTTATGCATATATAACTCATAAAATACTCATTATCACTACTCAATTGTAAAATGAAAATGGTTGAAACGAGAAAACGCACCACATGCTAAAACAAATTGGTTGTTCATACTAGTCGAATTTACGCCATATTTCTATTTTATTTTGATCATTTCATGTAATAGAAGTATTTGATACAGTCATTCATTATTTGAAATCATAACAAATATATGTTTTCCAATAATCCAGATAATCACCTGTCCAAAACACTGATTCCAGATGAGGTGACATACCGATAAGCACTATATTAGCGTCTTATTGCTCAGAAACCAATGAACATATTTCCACATTCTATATAGAAATAAGAATCAACTTCTACAGTGAGAGTGTGCTGAAATATTCTAAATACATACTTGAGTCATATCGTATAAGATTGATCGCGGTATATGACGTCACACGCTGTCCCGCGTTTTTCATGTTATAAAAAATTGTGAATTACAATAATTATTTTTCAAATGTACAGAGCTGTGAGGAAAAAACTGTTTGCGACAGTGAACAAGTTTGGGTTAGTACTTCAAAATAATGAAATACATTTTTTCACTACCCAACTAGCATTTTCAGTGGCAGGCACTATGGCTCGAGAAAGTATTTGTTTACTTTGTTTAGTAATATTTACGTAATTATTACTTATTTCATAACTTCATAGTGAAAATTTCAGTATAGTTTTTATATCACGGAGTGGAAATGACGCAGTTTCAACTACAGATAATAACTTTGAACTGTTGAAACTCTCATGGCTTTTTTGCGAAGTAATTATTTCCAAACTTTTACTTCTACTTCTCACGAGGTTTCGCAACTTTGAATACATTATTTTGGTAACGCTTACCTCCCCAAGAGAGCTTCACTGGTAGCAATAGCTCTGTTTACTACTGAGGTGCTTACGACGTTGTGGCTACTTTATACTTCACCTAGTATTTCAGGCAATTCTTGTTGATATATGGAGTAACATATTGGTATTTTCTACTCAAACAATTCCCTTTAAAGAAAACTGATATCTGGCCATTTTCTGACAGTGTCACCATAATGACTTCATCGTTAACTGTCGTTACCATTTCAAACTGAAATGAACAGCCGAGTATATTCATACATACGTATGTGAGGATAAGTCAGATGATTTGCCCAAAATGTCACTGTATTTAAAAATGTTCCTATCAGAGGGCCTAAAAGAAAGAATAATTCGATTGTCAGTGACACTTTGTTCTGAAAAATGCTTGAAGAAGAGAAATATCTAGATATATCGAAAAAATTCCAAAGATTCACTCATCTGTGGACGCTTCGGGAACGAATCTGCTTCCGTTTTCAACTTAAAAAAAAATATTATTCTCGCAAATTGTCTTCAGAAATGGAATAATATAAAAATCAAGGAGTCCTCCCACAAGCAAGTGAAAATTTGATATTTTTTCGATATATCTGTATTTCCCTTCTTCAAACATTTTTCAAAAAACACAAAGTATCACTGACATTGGAATGCATTTTTGTTTTAGGCTCTCTGATAGGAACGTTTTTGAATGAAGTGATATTTAGGGTCAAATCATCTGATTTGTCCCCACTGCGTCTATTGGAATAATACTCATATTTTTATTTAATCAAAACGAGAGAAAATCCCAAAAAATCTGGAAGAAAGAACACAGGAATGGATACACCACCTGCTCGATTAACATCTACAGACAGATTTTTTAAGTTGTTCCTTTCTTTTTCAGGTGTGAAAATTTACTCATGCTCGTATCAAGAAAAAAAAGTGCTCCTTCCGATGCAGAAAAAGCGTTCATGGCTGAACTACACACTGTAGAGGAGAAAGTTGTTGCTTATGGCAATAAAATTGACAAGATTAAGAACAAGATGAAATATCAGCAGATTCAGGTAACATAAAAAGCAATATTATTTTTTGTTACGGGTGTTATTTTCTTCAGTCATCTGATATTGGACCCTTCTATTTGTTTGGATGGAAAAGGGCTAATCACTGTTTATTATGCATTAGTTTACTCTGCTGTCAGATATAATATCATAGGTAGTCTATACAAAGCAACCGAATGGACTAGAATTTTTCTTGCTCAATACATTATTATTAGACTAATATTCAATATGGATTATCGGGAATATTGTTGGAAAACATTCAAGGATAGTTATTTATACATCAAGGTAGTAGGTAAAGAATATCATTTTCAACCAAGGAACAAGATTATATCCCGAGGCATCAGCCGAGGGTTAAAAGATCCCGTGGTAATAATAATCAAATTCAAATTCAAATTTTTTTCACCACTAGCAATGAGTTTCAATCATTTTGGTTCTGTGAAACTGAAATATGAACCTATTGTCACTATGAAAGCACTTCTGTTCAATTCCAATTAAAATCTAGTAGCTATAACCATGACAGCATATGACAAGTCGTTGTTGATAAATACCTACTAGATTCGAGTGCCATTATTGAGAACCTCGCATCAGAACGCCTTGAACAGGAGTGAATAATGGTAGGTTTTATAGCTTGTGGTGGAAAATAGTATATTATGTAACAAGTGTTATGAACGTCCTTTTAGTAACGAGTATTTTAAGCACGAGCGGAGCAGAGCGAAACGAGTGTTTAATAAACGAGTGTCTAGAAGAGTTTATAAACGCGTTACATACTATGCTTTTTCTTCGAACTCCTAAAATTACATTAACATACCTGCAATTCCTGCTAACCTACAAAATAATTCGAAAGGAATGGGAATTGAGAACATAATACATGCAACTGCATGCAACCAGCCAGACACGTATAAGTTATATTGGATGTAGATGTGTCCAGTCCGTTGCTTACTAGCCTTTGTTTCACGTTTATTGTCATGCTTAGCGCAGAATAAATAAATTGTTCTCAAAGATAGATGCTTCATTTTTACACTTCTTGGAGATATGCAAGTACCAAAACTTACTCTTCGATTTTACTCTCACCTACATTTCGCATATGTTCTTAATAAAGAATTCTGTTACAAACAAAAATTGTTTGAATAATTCTGATACAAAATACGAGAATAACAGTTGACAGTTAATACAATTGACAGGCCAGACATGTCTCAAATTACTGAAGCTGTGTTTAATGAACTGTGTTGCCATGGTAATGTGTTTAAGAAATCGTGTTGCCATGGTAACGTGTTTGATATCTTGAATAAATCACAGATCGACAATCCGTGATTAATCGATCATTTAGCGTGGTACATATCCGTACGCTAAATGCCATTTTAGTTATGTGAGTAGAAAATAGTATATTATGTAACAAGTGTTATAAACGTCCTTTTAGTAACGAGTAGTTTAAGCACGAGCGGAGCAGAGCGGAGCGAGTGTTTAATAAACGAGTGTCTAGAAGAGTTTATAAACGCGTTACATACTATGATTTTTCTACGAACTCCAAAAATGACATTAATTAACATACCTGCTATTCCTGCTAACCTACAAAATAATTCGAAAGGAATGGGAATTGAAAACATAATACATACAACTGATGCATGCAACCAGCGAGACACGTATAAGTGATTTGGGTTGTAGATCTGTCCAGTCCATTGCTTACTAACCTTTGTTTCACGTTTATTGTCATGCCTAGCGCTGAATAAATAAATTGTTCTCAAAGATGGATGCTTCATTTTTACACTTCTTGGAGGTATGTAAGTACCTGAACATTCTCTTCGATTTCACTCTCGTCTACTTTTCGGATATATTTTTAATGAAGAATTCCGATACAAACGAATATTGTTTGAATAATTCTGATACAAAATATGAAAATAACAGTTGACAGTTAATACAATTGACAGGCCAGACATGTTTCAAATTACTGAAGCTGTGTTTAATGAACTGCGTTGCCATGGTGATGTATTTAAGAAATCGTGTTGCCATGGTAACGTGTGTAATATTTTGAATAAATCACAGATCGACAATCCGTGATTAATCGATCATTTAGCGTGGTACATATCCGTACGATAAATGCCATTTTAGTTATGTGAGTAGAAAAAAGATTATACTTGACTTGACTCTCACTAGCATTTACTTATATAAACTTGGATAAACATCGTGTCCCGCTTCTCATGACTTCCTCGAAACTTTTGTAGTGATCGTTTGTTAGGAAAATTAAATATTTATCATAGTGAACATTTTAATTCATCATTGGTGAACAGTATTGGAGGGAGATTAAAAAAAGGCTTCTGTGGAAAAAGAAGATTTGGGCTCATTCAAGATGAACTTTTTCATCAGATTTAGAATCAGCATTCGCAAAAATTCCTGAAATTACATTTTCAAATATCAAGAGCTAATTTCAGTAGAGAGAAATTGTCATTAAAAATCTCTTTTTCTAACTTTTTAGTTCAAATGTCCCAATCCAATTTCATTTCAAATACCTCCATACCATTTCGTTGTATTCAGTATTCTCACAATTGCCCTTATAGGTACTAGGATGTGTGTTTACTGGGAGAGCAGGCGTATCTTAAAAAAATTCGAAAATCGTGGTATAAGGCAGTTGCGAGGATATACTGAATTTAATTGAAAGGTGTTTGAAATGCAATAGGATTATGCCATTTCGATCTTCTGACCAAAAGGTTGGGAGATATTCACGAGACCACCTCCGCCAAAAGAGATCTGCGATTTTCTGAGCTGCCTTCCATTTGGACAATAGATTGAGAATAAACATCAATATGGCCACCGAACATAAACTTCGGTGATACGGCAGTTTTTCAGAGATGAACATCATTTTAGACAGTGCCGTGAGTTTTTATTGAAATAAAATGGTGTCAATTTTTTACAAAATCATATTTAGGAATTATTTCACAGGAAAACTGACATAATATTAATCTACAAGGTTCCAACCCTCCTCCCCCTTATGTGAATTCTCATATAATTCCTCTAAAGGGCACTTTTGCGAATGTAATTAATCGGAAACGGTGAGTTCAACATAAAATAGCATATCCTGTTGTGTCTTCAAATCATGATTTTTCACCTACTAAAGCTATTGAACGTTCCAAAATTCGCAGTTTGATTGAATTCACTATTTTTACGATGCTGAACATGAAACAAATTGAGCCAATCCTGTTGATCTGGAATGAGAGGTAATTTTCTGCATATGGAGGTTTGAGTTAGTTTCTTGTAAAAAAAATCTTAATTTGATTTCATATAAGGATCGACCCCTTTTTATTTCAATAAAAAAGCACGCTATTGGCTGAAAGAATGTTCGTCTCTGAAAAACTGATCATATTGATGGATAATAATACCGGGCCTGATTTGGTACGAATCGCACGAATGATAGCTGAGATATAGAGGGTGGGCCGTATATGAAGGTCTTTACAAAAAGTCACCACATATTCCTCAGACCAATACAATCCAATACAAGCAACTTATCTCAGTACAAAGTTCCCCAGTTTGAGCGCTAGATGGCTCTGAAGATGAAATTTACAAATCCTTTTTGCTTCATAGCTTTGAAACGGCACAAGAGATTTTACTCAAATTTGTTATGTTGACATACGTCGCATTAAAAAAAAAGCGTACAAGTATATTACAGAGAGAAATTAACGTCACCCTATTCTGCATAAAACGAGCTATCGGGAATGATTGTTTACCAAATGTTGACAGTAAAGTTGTCATAGGTTCTCAAAAACACAAAGCGTTGGCTGAGCCAGTTTAACACAACTAGAACTAGGATCCCGAAATCCTCTCTTTTTAATACTTGTACGCTATTTTATTGAATACCACTGTCCCTTTATTGGGCAATAAAACCCATATCATGATTATGATGAATATCATTCCATGGGCGTGGAACTTGATTTTTTTCAGCAAAAAAACATCTGAACCTTCTACGTCAATGAAAAGAAAGGGGTTTTTATAGGGTGTTGCTTTATTCATTATAATTTTATCACCAGTACCATTTTTGTAGTGGACAAGTTACGCAATCCAAATCTCATATTCAAACTCCTTTCTTTCCATTGGCGTAGAAGTTCCAGATGTTTATTTACTGAAAAAATCAAATGTTGTTGTTGACAACATGAATATGGACTTGGCAGCAATTCTCGAATGGGGGTCCAATAACTTGGAAAAATTCAATGCAAACGAAACACAAGCATGCCTTTTCTCTAGAAAAGCCGATCTCACTGTGCCCTACATAAGCTTGTCAGGAGTAACCATACCTTTGAAGACATCCACGTCGATGCTTGGGATTACTATCAGCAATAACCTTTCTTGAGAAAATCACGTGAAATCAATTGCTTAGTGCATCCCAAAAACTTGATTTTCTGTTTCGGGCCAGGAGCTATTTCACATCTAGTCAGCTGCTTATGATCTATAAGGTACAGATCCGCCCTGTCCTGGAATACTGTTTCCATGTTTGGAGTGCAGCACCCAAACATCCTTTGAAACTGTTGGATTCTGTGCAAAAAGGGGCAATTCGTCTCGTGGGTGATGCCTCGCTCACAAACTCACCTACTTCTTTGGGATACCGTAGAAAAGTTGGCGATCTGGATCTATTTTATAAATATTTTCATAGACGATGCTCTTCTGAAATATCAACAATTGTTCCTCCCCCGCGAGATTAATCCGTCGAGTTGAGTTCGCACCCCTTCGTGGTCACTTTGGAGACCTGCAGAACATCTCTTTCCAAAGACTCGTTCATCCAACGAACAGCGAGCCTCTGGAACACATTGCCAAGGAAGGTGTTTCCCGAGGCATATAACCTTCAGAAATTTAAGAAGAACACCAATTCCTACCTTATTTCCCTCTGTTCTCAGGATGTTTCCTGAACATTACAGGATATCCCTTTACATGGGAACCAGAACATAAAAAAAATGCCAACACACCAAATTCGAATGAAATGTCATGAGCCGTTTCAGAGTTATGAAGCGAAAACAATTAGAGAATTGTAACTTCAGTGGAATTGTTCTGGTCTGAGGAATATGTGGTCGGTTTTTGTAAAGACCTTTCAGGGACTCCCTGTATAATAACTCAGATATTCTATAAGGTGTGTGTAGGTATTGATCAAAACACATTATATTTGACAACAGACAAACAGACAAACAGACCTTTCATAACTTCAAAAACTCATCATACACTAACACACCTGAGACGATTCAAGAGAATTTTGAAATATTACTCGATTGTTTATTCTTCTTATACAGTGTGACCCATTTAAAATGGAACCACCCCTGTATCTTACGTAATCGTTGGGTAAGGATCCTGAAATTTGCTGGAGCGGGAGATATACCAAAAATGCACTCTATGACCAAGTGGGGTCATCTTCAGTGATATACACTGCTCGCCAACAGCCATGAAACCACCCCAATTTCCGGAAAATGATATTAGGAGTGAAAATAGGTTGAAAATCACGTCGGATTCGGAATCAGGACTCCAAAGTTACTGACTATTAAAAGTTTTCTTAGAAGATTTTCAGTTCAGTAAAATTAAAATTTGTCTCACTTCTCATGGAAGCAGCCCCGTATCTCACGTAATTATTGAGGTAGGGTTCTGAAATTTGCCGGAGGAATAGAAAGTCCAAAGATAAAGTCAATTACGTGAGATACGGGGGTGCTTCCATAAAAAATGCGACAAAATTTAACGGTTGTGGTTTATTCACGGAATGCCAATCATTTCTCAAATTATAGTTTTGAACGTATATCAAACTATCATGCCCTGTGCAGTATTCGATTTTCAATTGTGTTACCCAAAAGTCCCTAATTCTTGTACACAATTAGCACAGTAAGCACAAGCAGAGGATGTAGTGTCCTGAAGTAGAAAAAAACGTCATCAAACTGAAATTATATCGAATATTATTATTTTACCTCAGTAAACAAATCCATCGGAACTTAACGCAATAATTGGAATGGGAATATTGTTTCTCGTTGTGATTTTCAAATCGAAGAATCAAACCGAACACTAAAACACGTCAACGTCAACTCAAACTTACCGAACCTACCAGAGAGAATCCACGGTCGTTTTGGTGACAGTGAATCAACCGAGTTCCGTAAATACCCATTTTTCAGGTACCAACCAAACATTTCATATTTACGGAAAGAAAAACTACTAACCGAAATAACCAAGTTGATTTACGGAACATACCATAACATACATATGTCCATCTACCTTCGAAATTATTCACAATTTTTCTTTCTTTTGAGTTGAGGTTTCCTGAAAATTTTGGGAAAAATCATACCTCCAATTATTTGTTTTCCTCGCCACTCATACCAATAATTTCAGAAATTTCCTACATTGAATTTCAATCATTCTGTGATCCTATGTGATATTGTTATATTTTCCTTTACAGATGGAAAACTGGAAAGCTCAAGAAACAAAGAAAGTATCTACAATCAATGCAACTCACACTAATACTATCAAGACGAATTTGCAAGAAACGTGAGTATTTTGTACCAGAGTAGTCTGATATAAGGAGCGTTTCCATGAAAGCAAGCAGCAAAGAATAATACTTACATAATGAATTTGAACAACTGCATTAATGTAACTATGATTACATAAAGTGAAAAATTTCAAAACAATTAGTTTTGAGAAGTCCTGTAACTTAATTCATCAGAATCAGACAAATGTTTTTTTTTATTTTCAGGAGCAACAAGATTACCGAAATGATCAAGGAAATAAATGACTATAAAAAAATGCTCAATCTGAAGGATGCTCTTCAATGATTCCATCAGGGAATGTTTGTGTTAATTTTACATTTTTAAAAGAAAATTAAATCCATGAATATTAATAAGTATCCCTTGTTTTCTTCCGGTAGTTTTCGTGTTACAGGTTAAAGAAAAATATAAATCCTTTCAACATACAAACCTAACATTACTCTAAGAGATAACGAACAGTTCCCTTTTTTCAGCAAATCTCAAAAACTATTGGTTTCATGAAAAAATAACAAGTAATTTGCTGGTTTCTTTATTATATTTGATAACTTAACAAATTTGAAATTATCTTTCAGTATACGTATAATTAGTATATATATGTATATATACATTCTGAATTCAATAGCTATGAATTGTGCAGAAATGCAAGGTTATAGAAAACAAACTTATATTCTATAAAAGAATTCACCATGCTGTAACTTAATATCTATGTATTAAAACGAATTATACATTTTGCAAAGTTGAACATATCCAAGTAACTATATCATGAAAAAACATATTTTATTCATACTATATCTCAGATATAAAAATATAAAACATGTAATTCTACAATTTTTATCCCATTTTATATCTAGAACTATTATTTTGCTATCATTTATGAGTCTGTCATATCAAAAATCCGTATATGAGGGAAGCATTTTCTGAATTGATGAGTAATGTAGAAAAATAATGTATACTCACATGAATTAATGATTCAACATAAAAGCAATCCAGTTCCTTAGAATACCTCTTATGTTCTGGAATATACATGGAAAATATCCTTTTCAAAGAAGTCTGAATGTGAAATTCATTATCTGCAGTTCTTTCAGTCCCCAGCTCTGTTTTTCTTCATAACATTGTTTTTTAATTTTATGAATGACCAAAGTTGAGGTTGATAGGATAATATACAGGGTGTTCCTAAACATCATGTACATCCGAAAGGAGGTAATTCCTCAGACCATTTTAAGACTAAAAGTTCATATAAACTCAGGTCCGAAAACGCTTCGTTACCGATCTACGGGGTGTTGAAATTTCAATTTTTTTATAGATTCTCACAAACATTTGAGATGTCCATCGATGTAAGCCCTATAACATAATCTATGTTTCAAATTTGAGCCACATATCTCAAAAACTGCAGGATCTATAAAGAAAAAACAAAAAAAATCTTGAAATTTCAACACCCCGTAGATCGGTAACAAAGCGTTTGCGGACCAATGTTTATATGAACTTTTAGTCTTAAAATGAGCTGAGGAATTACCCCCTTTCGGATGTACATGATGTTTAGGAACACCCTGTATATATGAAGTACTTCCACAAAATGTTAAAAATCGAAATGAACAATTGCAAAAAGTATTCCTAAATTATTGGAACTAGTTTAATAGGAGGAACTTAGTTTTCATTTCACAATTTGAAAAGCTTTCAATAAAGTTAGAAGAAGTTGCAATAAGTATCACTTGGTAGATCTTGGAAAAAAGGGTATGAAATTGAATGAATTTCAAAAATGTAATATATTTTTTGAATTTCTTAGTAGCTATAGTATTTCTGTTTGAAAATATAGTTCCGCTTTTGGTCCCTAACATCATCCATTTTCCAACAATAGACCGCTAATGATCTACCAGAGGTCCCCAGAAATACTTGCTTATTCTATCCTCATCTTCTGTAACAAAAAAGTCCCTACCATGCCTAACGAATTCTTTTTGTGAAATTCTCCCATCGCCATTGGAATCTATAGCTCGGAAGGCCAAAATGGCATCTTGCTCATTCAAGCCTAGGACATCGAAGAACAGTTTGAATTCTTCTACGGTGATTGCTCCAGATCTATCTTTATCAACTGCCTGAAAATGATTAACATAGTTACTGTAAAATATTAACAACCGAAGTATTATTGGTAAACAGTGTGTTATAGAACCAATATAGAAAACATATCAGATAACACTAGAGTCACTGGATGGTATTAGTAGTTAAGAGTTGGGCACAGCTGAACTTATGTCCTTTCCTTTTTCCATATTACAATGGTTTGACTGAATAAAAGACTAAGACATTATATTCTGCTCTTTGTTTTTTCAATTTGCCAAGTAGCACCCTGTAGCACCTGACTGTCAGAAACGATTTTAGAGGTTAGATTTACTGTCAAATCAATCTAGCCGTAGATTGAAAATGGAAATAGGGTATAAACACCTTCTTCAATTTATAGCGATACGGCACTTTTTGCAGAACTTCCATAAGAGAATGCCATGGGTTTGATATTTCCTATGGCAAATTAAATAAATGAAATAAATCCATTCTCTTCAGAATTCCCACAATTTATTACACAGCAGAAAATTTTCATTCATGCTTTCTTCTCAATAGTTCATGAAATTATATTTCAATTGGCAAGGTGACGATACGGCACCTGGTGGGCAAATTTGAACCAGTTTAGGACGTAATTCAAGGTCATGTTTGTTATTGTGTTCTCAGTGGGTTTCATATTTTATGAATACCATTCAACAAATTACGTTAATTTTCTCTTCTTGCTTCATAAGCATCTCAAGTACAAGACATGAACTTAATATCAATTGCCTAATCAATTCTTTATTATTTTATAAATTAGTATCAACAAATCTCTGATAATACGCAAAATCAACTGTGTTTGGTTGCTGGTTGAACTAGTAGAAGGTTCCAATGGAAAAATGTAGGACCTATAATGTCCTCAAATATGAATTTCCTGCACTCAAGAAGTCTTTTCTGATAATGGAAAATCAGTTCAGTTGAATGGAAAAAATGGATAAACGTTGAGAATCCAATATGAGTTTGAAAAGTGAATGTATGCAGCTCCAACAAAAACTTCCTGCCTTTCTTCACTTCATTGGATAACAATGAGGTAAATTTGTGATTCATTGATATATTTATTACTGATGAATAACTCTTATTTGCAGTGCCTATCTGAGAGAGAACATGATTGAAATGATCAACAGTTCATACCTATTCTGTTTATGTGGAAATGTCTCCAGGACTTGGAAAAATAAGTATGGTTGTTTTTCTTTCAAATATTTTCACAAAAAAAATAAAGAAGCAAATTCAATGCCTTTGACTTTTGAACTGCAATAGATAAAGCTGGGCAAGAAAAAAGACATTATGAACATGTGCAGGTGGGTAATTTATAGTTTTATTTGTAATGCTTGACTCATAAAAACCTTAGGCCTCCATAGATTCCTATTTTGTAGTATCATCTTTGTAGTCAAATAGCCAATGCGGAGTGCATGTACTTCCAAAATGATTAAGTTAAAATACAGCTCCCAATTACATTCATATGAGCAAAAACAGTAGCATATTTTATAGATATATTATAACCCTGGTACAAGCAGGTCATTGTAGGTAGCTTACTTCATAGCTTGAATTCAATCTTTGAACATACATTGAAGTGACACAATCTATTCCTATTTGAATATTTAGATTGTGTAATAGCTATGGTTTGTTTATAGTAGGTACTAACATTTCTTCAATTTTTCAGCAGGGGAGGAGTTGCCATCCAGGGTATTTTGCAATTGAGTGCAAATAGCTACACAAATTAAAACCAAAACCCAGATTCCTTGAAGTTGAATTCAAGTTTTTAAGGCGATATCACTGATTAATTGAATACTTGAACATATCCATGACATTTCAAATTGTATCTTGGAAAAATGTATCCATAATTTTACTGCTTGTATGTTATTATTAAACTGTATTTATTCATAAGTAAAAGTTCTACTTTTTTCTTTTTATAATGTTTTATAGTAGGTTTTCAAAATTCATATTTCAATTCCACAACTACCTCAATCAACACCTCATTTTTTTATGCAATTTCAAAGTTTCACTTTATAATCTTTACTGATTCCTTTTAAAATAGGTACCTACCAGGTAGATACTTACTTTTGCTCATTGTTAATTTATTTCTACAAATATGAAAGTCCTGGATTTCAAATTCATTTATAATTGTAAATTTTTATGAAGGTATATTGTAAAATGATTCAGGGAAAAACATTATACATGAGCACTGAGGGAAGGAGTATACTGGAAGATCCTTCTATTTGTAGGTACTTCTTTCTTGATTTCTTTGGAGTGGCATAAGTACAGTAAAACACATGTTATGTCAATGTACTTTCATTTTTGAAAATTATTATTAATTCAGTTCCAAAATATACAAAACATAATGAACTATACAAATTGATAAAGATAGATATTTTCAATTAGATGAATTTAGGATTACAAAATCAAATCACAAAATTTATGATAATATACTGTGTAAATACATTAACTGAAATCCTAGGTCATTTGATCAATGTTTTATGTGGTGGAATTCCAAATTATTCAATGATTTCATCAATATGGTAAAGAAAACTAGCTTTACAAGATATTAAAAGAATTCCAAGAAGAAAACTCAGTCTAGGATGCCACCTACCTCAACTCTAAGTATATTAGGAATATTCACATTATGAAAAGTGTGTTATATGGATACAATTTACACACATGGCACATAGGATCATGACAATTTGCTGTTATTGCAGTGGAGCACCATAATATATGAGGTATGGGAGTTGCACTGTAAACAATCCTCAAAGCCTGGAAGTAATATTGTTGAAGATAGGCCATTGATAGTAAAGTTGTATCTACTATTAAATCCACAGTAATGTCAGGATGCCTTTGGTGTTGAATTATTTCTTGGTTTAGACTCATTAGAGCTGGTTGCTGCTGATTTCTATTGTATGGATCAATTGCACATGATTCTGATGGCTATAATATTTAGCACAAAATAGTGGAATAGGTTAACACATTGTTTAGGGATGGTTTTCAATATGTTCACACAAGGCTGTTCACTGTTGAAAAACTTCACTCCTGGTATCACCATTTGTGGTCTGTAGGATCCTTTTGCTTGAAGAGTGGAGTAATAGAGGTATGATGGTGAATATATCAGCTTCTGATGATAGTGGATATGCTTGTGGTTTTTGATATCCCATAAAGCTGTCTCACAAAAATGCACTGGTTTGAAGAAAGCTCAGACTATTTGGTCCACGATTCAGTCAGTAGGTATCAGTTATTTTCCTCACATCATGATGAAACAGTATGATCCAACAAAAAATATTATGATTTCAGAAAAAAGTTCAACAATTAACACAAATAACACGATGAAATATCAAGAAGAAAATGTATGCAAATCTCAAGAAATTTTGTAAACAAACTACACACTCTTTGCCGCCATCTTGTTTTGAAACAGCGCCCCCAACGGTCGATCACCTTGCCAATTCTGACGTTTATAGTATTTATTGTCAAATTCAATAATAAAATTCAAACAATTTTGTCACAATGCAAGGTGTGTAACTTATACAGGGTGGGTCACGGTCGATGGCACCTTAGACGTTTACGGAGAACGGGACATAAGATCATTCTGAAAATTTGGTTACTCAAGTAATTGCTCTTGATCTATCGATCTAAACAAATACAGGGTGGTGCAGAATTCAGATTCTTGATCACCCGGTATATGTCCCAATTAAATATCAGTAGATAGTTAATCAAAAGTTGAGATAGGGACATGTAAGCCGTTTTGACCAATAATGAATAGTTTCGACAAAAAAAATTCCTTAAGTTGAAAAATGTCGATTTTTCACACCCTATATCTCTGTAATCATTTCCGCTAGACCCCAAGTGTGATATATCGATGAAATCAGCTCTTCAGAGAGAATCTGAAGATGCAATAAAATACAGGGTGTTCCATTTAAAATAACAAAGTTGTTGCTACTTTTCGATAGAAGCGGCAACGCCGCAGAGCTGAAAATATTTTAGATCGATAGATCAAGAGCAATTACTTGAGTAACCAAATTTTCAGAATGATCTTATGTCCCGTTCTCCGTAAACGTCTAAGGTGCCATCTACCGTGACCCACCCTGTATAATGAATCTAAACATTCAAAAACACTATCGGTTGTAATTTCTGTGTCCGAACTCTTATCTAACTAACACCATCCAGTGACACAGAAATTGGGAGTCATATGGTGTGCTGAGGACCATGTAAAATATTTATTATATTATCGATCTTACAATAGATGCCAATTCCAACCACTCTTAGGAATTTCAATAAGTACTATCAAGGATTTTCCTCGAAAAGATTGGACAGATTCTCATTAAGATTCACTTGAAACACACCTGTAAAGGTTTTCATTATTCTAAAATAGTGGGTAGGTATCCTAAGAAAATTGAATATATTTCTTCAACCCTGTATTTTAGAATGACGAACATTGGCAATGCAGATATACAGGTTGTTTCAAAATTTGACCGACAACGCTTGACAGGTGATAGCCCTCGTGATTTCATAATCACTGACATAGGGACATAAAGTCTTCTAGTGTTCAGTTCTCGAGATACAAGGTGTTGAAGTTGATAAATAAGAATAGTTTTTTCGCATTATCTCAAGAATGGGCGAGTGCACTGATACTGAATAATTGGCATTCAATTACTAAACTGTGTCGTTAGGAACCTAAATTATTTTTTTCTGTGACGGGAAAAAAGTTTGGCATTTCATCTCTGTTGGAAGATTTTACTTTTTTCCCGTGGGAAAAAAGTGAGTACTTTTTTCCCGGATATTATCACATAGACACTGTTGATGGCTTTTTTTGTGCTATAGTTCCGAAAAATGAGTCAATAATACTGTCTCCAAGAAAGAACTGCAAGTCCTTTTATCTCCCATTCGACTTCGCGGTTACGTATATTACTAAACAACCACTAAATTCGCAATTCTTTTAAATCAAATCACAGAATTAGACTGACAGGAGTGACGTCAGATATTTGATTGCTTCAGATTTCAAAATAATGTAATATCTTCTCAATATTGATTCGTCCTTTCTTCTGTCACAGAAAAAAAATAGTGTATTACACACGGGAAAAATATTAGATTTTAGCTCACGGTTTTTTGTCTACCTGCGCTACGCGTCAGGAGACAACACAACCTGGAGCTAAAATCTACTACTTTTTTCCCTTGTATAATAAATAACTATTTTGCAACACTTCTCACGCTTTTTTTATGTAAATAATGAATCTATGCGTTGTTCGAAATTGTTGAATTTCAGAGCTCATTTCAAACGAACCTTCACGGCTGCTATCAAAAAGATGTTAATAATAATAATAATAATAATAATAATTTATTCACCAAGAAAAATACAATCATTGCACAAAATTAACAAAATGTTAATGTTAAATATACAGCATTTTCGTGTGTTTTAACGATAAATAAATTTAGATACCACTCTGTTGAGTCCTGTCATTGAATAAAACCTAATAGGAGGAACCCATGATGTTATAGTTCATTCTTGACTTCTTTGAGCAACCAGCATGTCCAAATATTTCTTATTCTTGATAACAATATATCATGTGAATGTTGGAGACTTGACAACATCGTGCTGAATGCTGAGAACTGACAAGACCACGCCCACAAGTCGTGCGCCGTGGTTGTCACGTTCTCCGATTTAAATGTCCTCTAGTGTGAATATAATTATCATTTACACAAATTTATTATAAGCCACAAATCATTAGGAAACAAACAAAATTCCCAATCGTATTTCAACACATGGCAACTGTGCTATGGTGTGCCCCTACTTACGAAATCGTGGCGTAAGTTTTTACTGGCGGTAAATTTCTAGCCGTTTCGACAATTCTAATTATTGAATAAAACATCAACATTTGTGATATTCCAAATATATTTTATATTCACATTATCAACAAAACATTTCTACCTTAAAGTTTATGAATATGAGTCAGCATCAATAATAGTTATTTATTACACGAGGGAAAAATGTAGTAGACTTTTGGTCGGGAGACAAAAAACCTTGAGCTTAAATCTGATATTGTTCCCGTGTATAATACACAATTTATCTCTGTGACAGAAAAAAGGACGAATCAATATTGAGAAGATAATATATTATATTGAAATCAGAAAATTATCGATGTGAAATTCAAAGTTTTTAACAGGGATTATACCAGCGTTGCAGGTATCTTTTTGCAGGCATCTTTATCATTCTTTTTGAGTAATCAAATATCTGTCACTCTAATTCTGTGATTTTATTTTTGAAAAACTGCAAACTTAGTGGTTGTTTAGTGATTTAAATAACAACGAAGTGGAATGGAAGATAAAAGGACTTGCAGTTCTTTCTCGGAGACGGTTTTATTGGCCTATTTTTCAGAACCAGCACAACAAAAGCCATCAACAGTGTATATGAATATCCGGGAGAAAAGTACTCACTTCTTTTCCGTGGAAAAAATGTATTTATGAAAAGTGACATTTTATAACCTGTCAACAGAGATGAAATGTAATTTGTTTTTCGTCACAGGAAAAACATAATAAACAGGTATTCATTATTCAATAAGTATGTCATTGTCAAAAAAACTCGAAACACGAACATCGTTAAATGGACATGAAATTTGGTAATAGCAGGGTTGCCATCTTAGCGGTTTTGCCGCTCAATCTAGTTTTTAGTGTAGGTGAATGCGACATTTTAACCTGATTTGCGACGTGTCGGAATTCTAGCGTTTTCAACATTGTCATAGCGGTTTATATGGAGATATTTTGATCATATGATGAACTTTGGCTGATTGGGCATTTTTCCCATGAAAACCTCATTTTTCAATCAATCATTCAGAAAAAATTTTTTCTGAAACACGCGATACATATTTTACAATGAAGGGAGCAGATACAGGTATGTTTCAAGAGATATGTTAAATAAGAATCATTAGTTTTTACACAAAAACTCTAACAGTAATTTCTGGAATTTTATCCCAGGAAAATGGCCGTAGTTGGCCTATTAACAGCCTGAAGATTAGGTAATAATCCACCTGTTGGATTTTACCAATACCCTCGAATAATAATTTAAATGGGTAATTTTGCACTTATCATGCGATGGTTTATTTTTTTTCGAAAATTTTTGTAGGTACTTACGTATTTTTGTCTGAAAAACACGAATTTGATAATGAAAATGTGAACAAACCACTATTTATCGAGATATTTCAAGAAAAAGTTCGAAATTTTGCCATTTTATCCCCCTTATGTTGGATGCATTTACAGGTACTTGCTCTTATTATTTTGTCATTGGACACTTTATATACTCATGATGTACTTCACTGACAAATTTTAAGATGCAACAGGAATAGATATTTACGTAATCAGTTAGGAAACGCGTTGTTTTGTGTAACTCTGTGATGTTGCGGGATCTCGCTTATATTTTTTTCTAATTTTGACGAAACATTTCGCATGAACAAAAATAATGACCAGTTTAACATGAGTTCTGCCGACTCTCGTTGTGTGAAATGAATGAATGAAATGAACATTACATCACCAGTTATGTAAAATTTTACTTTACGCAACTGGTTACGTAAAGTAAGACGTTTCAAAACTTCCGTCAGTTTTGAAAAGTGTCACATTACATGTCAAAATTAGAAAAATATGATTTTTATGGCGAGTTTTTCCTATTTAGTGAGCAAGCATACCAGATGACGGCCATTTAATCCATATGCAATCCAAATACGAGATGGCCACGAGAGATGGCAAATGTCAATAGATTGCTTTGGAATGACATTACATCGTGGACATTACACACGCCATTATTGCAAATGATATTCTTCCTTCTTTTCACTAAACATGGATAAATCACAAGAAAATCATATATCTAGTTGACTCATATAATAAAAAAAATGTGTCCAACATTGTGTGATATATATAAATTGTCCAATGATGGAAAAAGAAGGGCAAATTGTTCTAAATGTGATCCAGAAGACAGGCGGAAAAGATGGTGAAATTTGTAACTTTATAGTGAAATATCTTAATAAATAATGGTTTGTTCACATTTTCATTATCAAATTCGTGTTTGTCATACAAAAATACGTAAGTACCAACAAAAATTTTCGAAAAAAAACCCATTGCATGATAAGTGCAAAATTACCTTTAAATGCTCTTTATTGGTTATAAATTACAACCAAAAGGCCATCGACCGAGGTCCTGCAGCCATACCCTTAAATACCTTCTTAGTTACAAATGTTTTGAAGCAAATGCTTGGGTTTGACGTTTAACCTGCTCTTATCATTTATTTAAAAGTTTCAGGCATTATTATTCAACTTGTCTGATAAACATGTGGGTTTTCATCTTTTTACTACCCATTTGACACAAATTCCGAAAATACCTACTCTTTCACCGAAACGTTTCTGGTTGATATACTTACTTTGAAAAGATATGGGAGGAATGAATGTGCTTTCCTCACTAAATTTTTGTCATTCAGTACATGATGCATATTTTCCAAATATTTTTCAACAGACACCAGATTGTAGGGGCTGATTTCTCCAAATTGTTTCTCCCACAGATCCTGCCGAGTTAAAAAGTGATATGAATTAATATATATGATTTTTCTTTTCACGTAACTGACAAGTTCACCAATAAGGTTATGTAGAACACGTGACCATGTCCCTTTGAAAATGGCCGCTGGAGTACATACACGCCAAGTAAAGGCAGTGGTTTGATCCATGTTCGAAATTTTCACCAGTTCTCGGTGAAGTGTGACATCGTTTATTGGTATATTGTGATAATTTAGTGAAGTATGATGCCTTGTGCAAGGAAATTTGATTATTTGTAGTATAAGTATAAGGCTAAACTCAAAGAAATAGACATTGAGCCATACCCTGTGGAAATGGACGATTCATCTACGGATGTTTTCAGTATTTTCCAAAGTAAATAGCTTCTATACACACAAACAGATGGGCATAGGTACTAATTAAAAACTTTAATTAGTGCTTGCCTTACAAGTATTTTGAAGCTGGATTCGTACAGATATATGAAGCAAAGAAAATCAATGACATGTTTGTTATAGTGGACAAGGTAATGATTATAAATTATCAACATCCATTTTGAATTTCACTTCATTATAATTTCTTGGATCTCAATAATGGTTTAATCTACAGGTTGTACAATCCTAAAAAATAAATCTACCTCCATTGACGGTACGGATTTTATTCAGAATTGATGGAGTAATGAATAGATATAAAAAAATCTAGTCTTCATCATGCACAAACAGATGTTCAATCATTCAGGTGTTATCTTACTTGTATTGTGCTTGTTCCTGATATTATATAATTCTACTTGTTTATAATATAAACAATTGTTATTTATGTACAAAAAATTACAATAAATCAATCAATACCAAATAATTTACTGCTCTTCTTTACATTCCAGGATAACTAGATAGTTCATTGTATGTACAAATAAAAAAAAAGCATTGAATCATAGGTAAGTTATTTATGGATGCATTACCATTGTCAGCATCTTATTTTTTTATTCTGCTCTCGATTTTCGTTCCGCAGTTTTTTGAGATTTTGCAGTCAGGGTTATCAATATCTAACAAATCCGAAGGTTTTCCTAGAGCAGTATCTAATGTTTGCTGCAAACTCCAGCATATTTGACATTCGTGTCAGTTAAATCCTGTCTATTAATCACTTAATCCATTTATGAGGTCGTTTTAGATAGGTAGTTCATTACTTGTCGGTTTGTTTGAAATTTAATTCAACTTGAAATCTGAAGAAACTCAGATTGTCACGTTGTTTTGCGACTTCCACATTCAACAACACAACAAAAAGACACGCTGAAAAAAGTGAAACAACACTCTTCATACTCTTTAACCCGCTAAATAATCTTACCACCTTCTCTAAACGCATATAACTTTTTAGCATCATGAAGAGATTGGCAAATAATGCAAATCAGCAAAATAAAACTAGACAACATATAACAATAGCAATGAACTCCAACTCTGTATGTACTCCAGCAGCCATTTTGAATTCATGTTGACATCATCTTGGATAGCCTTATTGTTTCTAATGTTGCAAATCAAATACAATTCTGAAAATTTTGGATAAGATTTTGCAGAGGTAGTATAAAATTACTCTCCAAATACTTTGATTAATCTCCAAATAGAACTAGGAACACTCATCACATTTTTCTCCTATAGAGAGTCTCTCCAGAATATAATGATTTATAGAAAGTTGACTTAATGAAATTGTGATTCCAAAGAGAATAAATAATACCTCTGTATAATGATCATATTAATTTTTTTGCTCAACAATCTACTTAACTCTACCCTACCAGAAAAAATTAAGAAATCTTACCTGTAGAAGGTCCTGAAATTTTTTTACTTGAGCTTTCTCCAAGTGTCCCAAGTTTATGAAACGTTCAGACAGAATTTTGAAATCGTCAAATGATATAACGCCGTCCCTATTCAAATCCAAAATTCCATGGAATGTTCGGATTTTTCTTCGCCAAAAGTCAGATTCGCCCTGGAAATTATTTAAAAAAATAAATATTAATGTCACATTCTTATTTGATGCTCAAACATTGTCGATCTAAATGAAAACCTAGTAGGCGACCTAGTGCGAGGAGGTATAATCTTGCCTACTAACTACCTAACTAGGTTGTCATCTACAACGACAATGGTTCAACATTTCGAAGATGCTATACAAGGTGCAAAGAGGTATGTTGGTATGTTACTATACTAAATCTCATTGTCAGCATGGGCTCCGCCAGGATTACTTTCAGGGAGGTGCATCTTCACACTAATTATCAACTAATGAAACAGCACTACATGATACGTATTTTGCACTAGTGCGAAATATTTCATTTCGCACTAGTGCGTGGCAATCTAATCACCATCATCAAATGGTGATGAAAAGTTGGGGGTTTCAAAAGAATAAAGGAGATTACTTCCCAGAATTCATAATGTTGTTGAAAGTATTTTGCAAATACAATGATGAAGAGATAAAAATTGAAAAAAGTGCTCAAAATTATTTACATGAATCGAGCACTTTGTTTCCAATTGAAGTTTGTAGTAAATATCTTCAGATATCGTTATTTCCTGTTGTTTTAGATTCAATGTTTGTCCTCAAACATGGTCGTCGAATCTTCTAGGTTTTCGAACTATTCGTTTTGTTCTGGTATTATGATGAATAGAATTGTAGGAAATATCTTCAGATATCGTTATTTCCTGTTGTTTTAGGTTCTTTGTCAAGATGGAAAGACTTTTTTTTAGAAAATTTTATTCAAAAATAATGTTCATGTACAGGGTGGCCAACTAAGAATCCAGAGTTCGATACCTCTGTTGTCTTGAGAGATACAAAAAAAAGTTTTGCATTCAAATTAGAGTTATAACCGAGCTTAACATCTCAAAATTTCTTTGAAATACACAGGGTGTTCCGTAAGGTCACAGCACATCAAAGCTAGTTTTTTTCATTGGAACACCCTATATTTTATTTCATTTTTGAATTCTCCCTGAAGATCTGATTTCAACGACGTATCATACTTGGGTCTAGCAGTGAAAGTTACTGACATATAGGGTGTGCAAAATCGAGATTTTCCATGTTCAGGATTTTTTTCTGTCGAAACTGTTCATTATTCGTCAAAACGGTTTACATGTCCCTATCTCAATTTTTCACTTACTATCAATTCGTGATCAATTGACATTTAATTGAAACAAATTATAAATTTAGATTTTTTGACCACCTTGTATCAATTTCAATTGAATGCCAATTGATAGTGAGTGAAAAGTTGAGATAGGGACATGTAACCCGTTTTGACGAATAATGGACAGTTTCGGCAGAAAAGAATCCTGAACTTGGAAAATCCCGATTTTGCACACCCTATATGTCAGTAACTTTCACTGCTAGACCCTAAGTATGATGGGTCGTTGAAATCAGATCTTCAGGGAGAATTCAAAAATGAAATAAAATATAGGGTGTTCCAATGAAAAATACATAGCTTTGATGGGCTGTGACCTTACGGAACACTCTGTGTATTTCAAAGAAATTTTGAAATGTGAAGCTCGGTTATTACTTCAATTTTGATTCATGAATTTTTTCGTATCTCTCAAGACAACAGAGAAATCGAAATCTGGAGTCTTAGTTGGCCACCCTGTACTACAAAAAATGACAATTCATGAAATTAACTACTGACATCAACTGACATATGTTTTCTGCGCCGCCTCTTTCATAATACAGGATGATTACGTCCATTTTACAACAAGTTGAAAAAGAATTTTAGGATGGAAGTTTCAAACAAAGACAAACCCAACTCATCCGATTTACACTCCAACAATTTTATAATATTTCGTATTCCATTGGGATAGTGCGGGTGCAAAACTGGTGCAAAACCAGTGCACCACCAAGTTAACGAATGTTATTCGCTATACAGGGTGTAAATTTGAAAACTTTCAATGCGAATATCTCGCGAAATAAAAAAGTTAGAAAAACGCCGCTTGGCAAAAATGCTGAAGAGTTAAGGGGAACTAGAACCACAATATTTCAGTGAAGGGATGAGTCACCCTGTGAGCACAACACACCCCAACTTTGAAATGTCAAATGGCACTACCTCTTTTGTGATACCTCAAATGAACGGTCTCAGTCAGTAGTATTCACCTGTACAAGCCTTTTTTTCCACCCACTACAGGGTGTACGAAAAACATCAAGTCAAGGGTCTAAATTTGAAAACTTTCAATGCGAATATCTCGCTAAATAAAAAAGTTAGGAAAACGCCGTTTGGCACAAATGCTACAGAGTTAAAGGGGAACTAGAACCACCATACTTCAGTAAAGGGATGAGTCACCCCGTCGGCGCGACACACTCCATCTTTGAAATGTCAAATGGCACTACCTCTTTTGTGATACCTCAAATGAACGGTCTCAGTCAGTAGTATGCACCTGTACAAGACTTATTTTCCACCCATTACAGGGTGAACGGAAAACATAAAGTCGAATAAAATAAAATGCAGAATGCCGATATATTCTGAGAGATGTGTTCCAAAATGTTAAAATGGCATTTGAACATCGATTATACTATTGCTTACAACAGAATGGAATGCATTTTGAACATCTGATCAAATAAAATAGCCTTTTAACACAATTCATTTTATTTTATTCGACTTTATATTTTTCGTACACCCTGTAGTGGGTGGAAAAAAAGTCTTGTACAGGTGAATACTACTGACTGAGACTGTTCATTTGAGGCATCACAAAAAAGGTAGTGCCATTTGACATTTCAAAGTTGGGGTGTGTGTCGCGTCGACGGGGTGACTCATCCCTTGACCGAAATATTGTGGTTCTAGTTCCCCCTTAACTCTTTAGCATTTTTGCCGAACGGCGTTTTTCTAACTTTTTTCTTTCGCGAGATATTCGCATTGGAAGTTTTCAAATTTACACCCTGTATTATGCCTCGACCATAGATTAAGTCGTAAATCTATGCCTAGACTAAACCGCAATGTCAATGAACAGTATCTAGGTCCTAGGTAGATATACCCGTCAAGGTTGCCGGCTGAATTATTCAATCCAATCAAGCTCGTTTTCTACATTTACATAATCATTATTCATAAATTCGCAATCTATACTACAGCAAAAATAAATTGGTGTTTAGTTTCAACAAATCCTAATAGTGAAGAAAATAATTATTGAACAATATCACATTATTTGACAGTAGCTGATAATCAAATATTTACTGTGGAATTTCGGTGTTGAAATTCAAACAAATTAAGTCTCATGAAATGTATGTTTATGTACTCTGCAGATAATAATTAATTGATATGGTACATTTGTTTTTTCATTTCTTTAATTCCACTTTGATAACATTCAGCCAGACGATATTTCGATGTATTTATGAACTTTGAACAATCTGAATAAAAAAATTTGCCTATACTTATCAGATGAATGCTTGGGATCTTTCACTGTTACAACCAATAGACGTTATACTGCCAAAACATGTTGTTTTTCTATAGTGAAAGACGAAATCGATACACCGAAATAGTTTCAAATCATCAGCAAAAAGAAGCATTTTACTAGATATGTTATGGGTAATATCATTTATACAGGGTGTTAACAAATAAGTGTCACAACGGAAAACTGTAGATTGCTCATGACAAAAGAAACATTTTTTTCTCTTTCGAAATTTTTCTCCGTTATCAAGATACAGAGCGTCAAAAAAATACAAAAAAATCTGTTTTTTGCTACTATCTCAGGAACCGTCTGAGCTACGGAGTCAAGCCTTCGTACACATTTCATCATCAATAATGACTACTTTTAGGGCTCTTGATCAATTTCCTTGGACATGTCAGTCGAGGAGAATTCAACGCCTCATAAGGGTCTCACCCCCCAAACATTTATGCCACTGGAGAAATTGTAATTTTCAAAGTAGATTCACACAAAAAACGTCCTCCTGTATCAATGCTCTAAAGTGTACAGGGTGTCCCAAACTGGATGCGTTCTTATGGGAACACCCCTTATTTGAAGAGATGGAAAAAATTAACCTAGGTGTCCGGAGCTTAAATTCAATAAGGAAACCACTTGCGCAAACGAGACTTTGCTATCTCTTATCGTTTGGCCGCCAGAGGGCTTTTCTCGAAATTCGTTGATTTCTTCAATGCCCCATAACTTTCTTATTATTGAAGATAATTCATTTTGGTAAAAACATTTTCAGAGCACTTTTTTCCATAGAATCTATTGAGATGAGAAGTTTTTCTACAGGGCGTTCATATTGCTGTGCACCATCCCAAACTCTGTTTTTTTAAATGGACCACCCTATATATTATGATATCTTTGAGAAGCTCGTAAAATTCACTAAATTTTGGTGTATCACTCGTCATGTTTATCTCAGAAACCATCAGCAACATTACGATTTAAAAATTAAAATATTGTGCCTACAGAAATCAAGATTGCCCTGACTAATGAAATGACATAGGATGCTAACAAGTTATAGTTGAAACCGCACCGATCTAAAGTTTTCACGTAAAGAAGCAGTAGGCCGTGATCATGATTATTCTGTTTTCGTTGTTTGACAGCTTCTAAATAGTTGAGAATTGACAGTAGAACTCGATAATTTATATTTTGGTATTTTTGGTAGAAAATAAGTATATTCATAAGGTTTTTGAAGAGTTTTAAGGAATGTATGAAAATTACGAGAAGTTCAACATGCTTGAATGTTACATAGAAAGTAACAAAAATGCTCAGGCGGCAGAAGACTTGTATTTCCAAAGATATCCCGAACGACAGCAACCATCCTGGGATATATTTGCTAGACTTGCCCATAATCTCCAAAATTTTGGTTCTTTCAACAAACCCAGAGCAAGTTATGCTCAAAATCAAGAAATTCAAAATGAAAATGAAATAAAAACTATAACCGTATTGGGAACTTTATATCAAAATAATGGTAAAACTTACACAAGAAAACTTGAAGCAGAGACTGGCATACCCAGAAGCACAATCCATCGGATTTTGAAAAAAAAATAAATTCAAGCCCTATCGAACTCGCAAAATCCATCATCTTCTTCCTGGGGATTTGGATAGAAGAACTCGTTTTTGTCAGTGGTATTTGAATAAGATACAAAATGAACCAGATTTCGCCATAAATTGTATTTGGACCGACGAAGCTTCGATTAGTAGTGCGGGCATATTTAATCGATTTAATGATTACACTTGGTCTCAAGGAAATCCCCATGTGACTGTTCAAATTAGACAAGGAAGATTCAGTTTCAATGTGTGGGTAGGAATTTTCAGAGGACAATTCATTGGACCCTATATTTATGATGGACCGCTGAATTCTAGAGAATATTTGGATATTTTAAGGAACCAGGTTGAACCGTTCTTGGAAGATATTCCTATTAATCTAATACCCATCAGAGTAGGTTTCTAGCACGATGGTGCCCCTGCACATTGTGCAAGGATTATCAACGATTACCTCAATGTCCAGTTCGGTGAGAAGTGGATGGGAAATCAAGGGCCCATACAATGGCCTGCCCGGCCACCGGACCTGACGCCCTTAGATTTTTTTCTTTAAGGTAGAATTAGAGACTTAATTTATAAAAATAATAATTTTAATAGCCGGGAAGAATTAGAAAGGGTGTTGCGAGGTGCGTTTAACCGAGTTCTAAATATACAACTCATTAATGCAGTTAATGCTGTTACCAAAAGATGTAGAATTTGCCTTCAACAAAATGGGGGACAATTTGAACATTTGCTGACATAATTTCATTATGTTTGTGTTTATGTTTATTCAATATCGTTGATTAAGTTTCATATAATTTTATGTTAGGATTTAGTGTTAGTGTAATATTGTTGGTTTGTTGTTGTTGTCCTTTGTATTTTAAATAATTATAAATTCATTACGATAACTATGAGTGTTAGTCAGGGCAATCTTGATTTCTGTAGGCACAATATTTTAATTTTTAAATCGTAATGTTGCTGATGGTTTCTGAGATAAACATGACGAGTGATACACCAAAATTTAGGAAATTTTACGAGCTTCTCAAAAATATCATGATATATAGGGTGGTCCATTTAAAAAAACAGAGTTTGGGATGATGCACAGCAATCTGAACGCCCTGTAAAAAAACTTCTCATCTCAATAGATTCTATGGAAAAAAGTGCTTTGAGAATGTTTTTACCAAAATGAATTATCTTCATTAATGAGAAAGTTATGGGGCATTGAAGAAATAAACGAATTTCGAGAAAAGCCCTCTGGCGGCCAAACCATAAGAGATAGCAAAGTCTCGTTTGCGCCAGTGGTTTCCTTATTGAATTTAAGCTCCGGACACCTAGGTCAATTTTTTTCCTTCTCTTCAAATAAGGGGTGTTCCCATAAGAACGCATCCAGTTTGGGACACCCTGTACAGTTTCCGAGAAAAATGGCTCTTTATGAATAAGAACATACAAAATCCTGATGGTATCTCCAAAAATCGTCTAAAAATCCACTGGAAATAAACACCTAGAACTGTCTAATAATATGTTCAATCAAATGTCAGGTTCTTGAGTATGCTGGTTTAAAAATTGTTAAGTTTATTTAGTGTTGTAAAGTGTGTTTAATTAAACTGAACATTTTCGATTTTTTGACGCCCTGTATCTTGAAAACGGAAGCCCGGAAAAAAAATTTTGAAGAGGAAGGAAATCTTTCTTTCATTATGAGAAATCTACAGTTTTCCGTTGTGACACTTATTTGTTAACACCCTGTATAGAGGGAAAACAGCAATGGCGCTAAATTACTCCCCTGCGGTGAATGATTGTGATTTGTGTCCCTTATATTCAACGAATAAAGAGCGGCCTATCCTAAATTTTTTAGTTTTAAAATCAGTATCGTGTGATCCATTTTGTCGAGCATTTCTTCTTACCCTGTGTCCAATCCATTCCAAGTCACTATCCGATTCAGAATCAGACTGATACTTCCTCTCAGCATGTGTGTGTTTAGCATGTTTGCTGTATTCTCTCGTGGTCAAATGATTTGTGGGAGAAATGATCATTTGCGAAGAGCATCTACATGGTAACTGAAACCAAAGAAAATAATAGTTATTTATGTATCAAGGGCGTAAAGTAGGCGTTTAAGGCCTGTGGCGTGAATAATGGCCCGATGGCGCTAGCCGAGGGCCATTACACGCTGAAGGCCATAAACGCATTTCACGCACGAGATACATACAAAATTTTATGCACTAGTGGTTTATTTTCTGACTCATGAGTAATGACTATAGATTTCGATGAACTAATATTCCCCAGAATTTAATTTGTTACGTATAAATTCAGTAATCAAGAGAAGCGTAATGTTCATGGATGATTTACATGTGAAAATTATCGTACGAATATTGCAATTATCGTAATAGTAAAACTCTTTCAGCTCTAGAAGAGATTCATTCTTCAGAATTTTACAATATGCATACCCAGTATATAAACCTAACTTATTTTGACGTTGTCAATCAATCTGATGGTTGTTGTCTATAGCAATACATCCAATAAACTAGCTGAATTGTCATTCTTTGATTGAAAAGTAAAATTAGTGATGATAATAATAGCGAGACTATGGAATCGGATGAAGAAGAAGTTTATGATATACCGCTGGATATATCAGAATCTAGGAATATGATCATAGGTTTTTCATAAATTGATATGTGGATATAAGGTGACTGAGAACAGCGGGCGGTAAAGTGTACTTTACGGCCCGTGGGCCATAATGAGCTCGCGGGCGGTAAAGTGCGACTTAACGCCCGCAAAACCGGGCGGTAATGTGCACTTTACGGCCCGCTAGTGCATAAAGATAATTACGATACAAAACTTTGGCATACTTTGGCAGTAGTATAGTAGCAAAAGTTCGAGTGTATACAGGGTGGCCCACGGTTGATGGTACCTTAGACGTATACGGAAAACGGTACATTGGATTATTCTGACAATTTAGTTACTCTAATAAGCGTTTGTGATCTAACGATTCAAAATATTTTCATCGAAGCAGCGTTGCCACTTTTACCAAAAAGTAGCATCATCTTTGTTATTTCAAATGGAACACCATGTATTTTATTGCGTTTTAAGATTTTTCTCGAAGAGCTGATTTCATCAATGTATCACACTTGGGGTCTAGCAGGAATTATTACAGAGATATAGGGTGTTCAAAATCGAGATTTTTCAACTTTAGGATTTTTTTGTGTCGAAACGGGTCACATGTCCCTATATTTACTTTTGATTAACTATCTACCGACATTTAATTGGAAAAAATACAGGATGGTCCAAGATTCAGAATTTTGATCACCCTGTGTCTGTTCCAATTAAACTCTCAGTAGATAGTGAATCAAAAGTTAAGATAGGGACATGTAAGCCGTTTTGATCGATAATGAATAGTTTCGACACAAAAAATTCCTGAAATTGAAAAATCTCGATTTTGAACACCCTATATATCTGTAATAATTCCTGCTAGACCCCCAAGTGTGATACATTGATGAAATCAGCTCTTTGAGAAGAATCTAAAAACGCAATGAAATACAGGGTGTTCCATTCGAAATAACAAAGATGATGCTACTTTTTGGTAAAAGTGGCAACGCTGCATCGCTGAAAATATTTTGAATCGTTAGAACACAAACGCTTATTAGAGGAACCAAATTTTCAGGATAATCCAATGTACCGTTTTCCGTATACGTCTAAGGTACCATCGACGGTGGGCCACCCTGTATATTTTGAGAAATCGCTCCTACACAGTGAAAAATGTTCACGTATAATATCAAGAACAGGAATATTTAGAAAATTCGTATTCTCGAAAAAATTTCCGGAAATAATTGAAGCTAAAGTGGTATTCGGTAAGAAAATTTCACACAAAACATTTTCGATCAATTTGAAGGAATATCAACAACACTGAGATGATTTAGTTGAAAATGATGGTTGTTTGTGATGAAATGTAAGAACTAACTGTGTTTCTGTAAATTTCGAATTTGCAAGTAGGTATACCTACATAATATTATATGGTAAACTTGATAAATGATTTCTATTTATTGACTTATATAATGAACTCGAAATAATCTGACGTTGAATGAAAATGTCATTTAACCTATGAAAGTCAAAAAATTTCCAGTGTAATTTCATACTTTAAATTGATCGAAAATGTTTGGTGTGAAATTTTCGGGTGTAATTTCAATCGTGTGGATTTCAGATATAACTCCGATCGAATCAACACTTGATTAGCGATATTATATCAATATTATTAAAAATTTGATAATACCATGTACCAGGTAATTCAATAAGGGTGGCGAGGTACTGCATCTCAGAAACTAATAGTCTATAAAACACGCCCCTTTGCGAAGGCGGTAAGAACCCCAGAATGACGTATGATTCTTTATTTCATTCGTCAAACAGGCCTTGTTGGCAACATTCTTAGCTCCTCAGATACAGAATCTCGTCATCCTTATTGAATCACCTGGTATACAATGGTGTCAATTCACACCTTTATAGTGAAAAATTACACGGATGTGGTAATATAGAGGGGTTCTGAAATATACATCCAAAAGAAACACCAAAAGGATGAAAAGTAATAACTTTTGATAGTGGTATTATTCAAGTTAACGCAAACAAACACTCATTTTATGAAATTAACACCTAGTTACACCTGACGAATCACGAATGAATCAAAACCGTGTATAAATCTTGAGATTTGGGGCTCTTTCTAAAATATTCGGAAGTATTCGGAATTTTTCACGTTTCAAAACGGAATTTTGTTAGTCATAAAATTGCGCAACTTTGCCTCCATGTAACCCTCTCTGTAGCTCTTACAGTTTCCGAGATCACCATGCATCTACTCGGTATATGTTCAAAATCATCATCACCTTCTTCCATCAGATATACGTCGGTGAACCAAACACTCTGTATATTAATTGAACTTGCTTTTGTACACACACCATAATCTATATGAATTTTCATAACAATAGTTATTAAATTAAGATTAAATCATTGAACCTGTTATTACATTAAAATAACTGGATTAACATTGAACCCTCATAAATGATTAGAGGTATAATTGAGTGAAAGATAGATCATCATTCACATCGGAAGCAAACAACTTATTAATGTTATCTACTACTTTCCTATTATAGTTTCAACTATTGAACGGCTGGGATTTTTTTTAAATGTTTAGTCTGCTCCAACGGCAGTTAAAGAGCTACATTTTCATTCTGATAAAAAATATGTATTTTTCAAAATGACTCATGTTATATTTCATTTTGATCCCTTCATTCATTTTATTGGTGCCATTCGATAGTATACGTGGAGGTTCCTTAGGGTGTGAAATATTTTGTATTTATCTCAATATCACCCTGTATATACACCGTGTCCCAGCTAAAATGTCCCCCCAGTAAAAAATCAACCGCGCTATCAAATGACTTGAAATTTGGTCACCCAGTATATCTGATGATGCTCACTCGAAATATGCTATTGAATAAATCGTATGTATACAGGGTCACACCAAAGTGCACCTCAACTTTCTTATTTGAATAGGGACACCCAGTATATTATTCCATATTCAAGTAGAGTTTATTATTACAAATTCAACAATGCCGGGTTTGATGGGATTTTTTCAAACGACTACGAAGATATGGCAAAAAATAAAACGATTCAATAAAAAATGTATATGATCAGATTTTATTAATATAACACGATTGAAATCGAACAATGGGAGTCCTGCACATAACTACAGATCCGTAAAGGATTATCTTCGCCATCGGTTTGAAGAAAATCTAAAGCTCGGTCGCCAGACCTCACCCCACTTGATTTTTATTTGTGGGACTACTTGAAACAACAGGTTTATGAGTCGCCAATTGTGAATATGGAAGAAATGAAAGAGAAAATCGCAAATTTATGCGCACAAATTGATCGCAACGTGATACATACGGTCACAATGAATGTTATCAAAAGAGCTGGGAAATGTTCACAGCAGAATGGACGACATATTGAGAGTTGAGGTTTCAATTATTTTTGATTCCAATCGTGTTATATTAATAAAATCTAATCATATATATTTTCTATTGAATCGTTTTATTTTTTGCCATATCTTCGTACTCGTTTGAAAAAAATCCCATTAAACCCGGCATTGTTGAATTTGTAATAATGAACTCTACTTGAATATTGGTTTGTCCCTATTCAAATAGAAAGTCTAGGTGCACTTCGGTGTGACCCTGTATACATACAAATAGCATATTTCCAGTTAGCATCATCAAATATACTGGGTGACCAAATTTCAAGTCATTCGATCGCGCGGTTGATTTTTTACAGGGGGGGACATTTTAGCTGGGACACGGTGTATATCATGTAAGCATATAGGTTTGTTTCCTCCCATGTGTGTTTTAATCAAACTTCACACGCGGAAGGAAGTGGATACCTTCTGCTTTCTTGATATACATCGTCGCCCTTCTATCTGCCTTTTTTACCAAAATTGAGATTTTGGTATATTAGGGTTCTATCTGATGAATTCTTCATTTTCAGAGGTCAACTATCGCGCAATTTGTTGGAATTTGAATGAGTTAATCATAATGCAGAGTTTTATCTTCAGAATGTTTCTGTATCAATTTGGTGTAAAAATATCCTAACCACATGATTTGGTTTATCATGGTTCTATCTACACCCAGATAGAACTTTGTTTCATCAAACCAATACATATACACCCATGTTATCCCAGTTCATCAACATTAAAAATTCACAGTCATATTGAGAAGTACATGAATTGAAACTGATTTTTTTTCACTTCTATCTATTTTTTATGAAGAACTTGAAAGCAGTGCATAAAAGAAGCCATAGTAGCTGAAAGTTACCGATTTCAAAGATTTCAAGAGTTGTATCAAGAAACTTCAATACAAATAGTAGATTGTTTCATTAGGATCAAAAGTGACACTTTGTTTGACAAGCGAATTTTGCATTTGTGAGGCGGAGCGTTTAGCGAAGCCGAGCGAAAGCAAAATTTGCGAGTCGAACAAAGTCACTTTTGATCCGAATGAAACATGCTATTTTTTCTGCAACCGAAACAATT